TACTTTGGTAAATGCTTGAGGTGGAGTGGAAGGGCACCAGCATTTACTGATGATAATCCATGTCTGTCTCTCTGCCTGCAGCAATTTTCTTTAATTAAGGTATATTTATTTATAGCACCACCGCACACAACAGAACTTCTGCTGTAATTACAAAGAATTCTTGGTCACTCAGAATGGAAGGAAGAGGGCCTCTTAGTTGTGCACATATATATATTTAACTCCTATATCAAGCAGCTGATATATTCTAAAAGTCAAATGTACCTTTTAACTGCTTCTTAATCCTTTTGCCCACACAGTCCATGAAGCTCAAGAGTGGTAAAAAGCTGGATCCCCTGCCTTTCTTCTTGGCTTGATATTGATTTCTCAATTGTGGGAAACCTCTTTCAAGAATAAAAATTGAAATATTCTCATCTTTATCAATGCTCATCATCTCCAAGTGAAGGGCAAAAGTTATACCATTTGGTGAGCACCAACTGTTTCACGTTAAGGAGAAACTGTGATGCTAGATGAACAAGATTGTGGCACTGGTTGTCCTTAAGATGCTCTTAACAGCATTCCACCCTCTGCTCCAAATTAGCTCAGGAAGGGGTAATGTCTAGCCTCCTGCCATGCACTCATTGCAGCAGGAGTGGCAGTGCCAGGGGAGTAACATCCCCAAGGTCAGAAAGACTTGTCTGTGTTGCAAACCACTGCAGTCCAGAAGATCTGTTTTACTACACATATTCTGCTTCCATTGAGCTACTTGACCCTTTCTATTCTGCAATATGGCACATAGCTGGAAGAACCTTCCCATCTGCTCACCTTTTCAGTTAAATTTCTTCCTGTACACTTATGGAGCCTGTGCTACCAATCTCACAGAGCAAACATTGCATTTGTTTATAGTTTCCTTTTGCTTTGGTGGCATCCTTTCTTTGGCAATCATTGCTTCCAGGTATTTATTCCAGTGTGGCGTAGTGGTGAAGAGCATGGGACTGGGACTCAGACGATCTGGGTTCTAGTCCCCGCTCAGCCATGGAGCCAACTGGGTGACTTTGGGCCAGTCACAGACTCTCAGCCCAGCCTACCTCACAGGGTTGTTGTTGTGGGGATAAGATGGAGGAGGAGAATGATGTAAGCTGCCTTGAGCCCTTTGTAGGAAAAAGGCAGGATATAAATCAAAAAATAAATAAATATTCCAGATTTTCCACCAAAGCTTTTCACATGTCTGTTCTGATTCATGGTGTTTTGTTCCTCCATCAACTTCCCTCACCTGCTTCCTTTTTCATTACTTGTCTGTGGCTGAGATCAAAGGGGTTTGTTGTACTTCGTCCTTCTTCTTCAATACTGTGCAGTGCCTTGTTTCCCCGTTGGTGCTTACAATTTTTTAAACTTCAGATTGCCTTCTGTATGGACATATTTGAGTAGGGGCGCTCCCTGTCTTTCCCTGCTCCAAATCTATTTCCCAGAGCCCCAAGTGTTCATTTGTGTCTATGGAAAGCTTTGCTTAGCTTAACTGCCACGCTGGCAAATTTGCCACTTATTGCACTAAGCGTTCTGTCCTCACGGTGCTGCAGATTAATTGTAAGTGAGGAGGAACTACAGATTTGGGCAGGACGCACATTGAATAATTTGACGTTATTTGGAGGAGAGGCCAGTTTGCTTGCTTTGCCTTCCGTGGTCATTTAAATAAATCCTGGACATTATTTCCAGCACAGCTGCGAATTGCATATATGACTGAGAGCTAGTGTGATGCTGTTGCTAGAGCATTGGACGGGGGACCTGGGGGACCTGGGTTCTAGTCCCCACTTAACCATGGAGCTCACTAGCTGACTTTGCACCAGTCATGGACTCTCAGCCCAAACTACCACTCCGGTGGTTGTTGTGAGGCTAAAAATGGAGCTGTGCAAGCTGTCTTGGGATCATTGCAAGAAGAAAAAAATGCAACATACAAATGCAATGTAATAATGAATTAGCAAGTACAGAGTTTTGTGCCTTGTGGCCCTGGGACCCTAATCTCTGAAGTGCCTCACAACACCCTGGGCCCATGAGTCAGTTATCCTGGTAATGATAGAAACCTGGCAAAACAATCCATGTTGCCATGAAGTTCTCCCTTACGTCTGTGCAGCTACTGAGAACCAAAGCAGTGTCACGGCTGAAGTGTTGGACTGGGCCTCAGGAGACCTGGTTCCTAGTCTTTGCTCTGACGTAAGATGGGGAGCAGGAAGATTATGTAAGCCACCTTGTGTTCCTCGCAAGAGGCAAAACAAGGTAGGATATACATATTGTAAATGAATCAAGAGCCTAAGAAGAGACACGCTGGATGAGGCCAAGTGCTCATCTAGTCCAGTAGCAGCCAGTTACTGATCACAGGAAAGCCACAAGCAGAGCGTAAATGCAGGCGTGTCCTCCCACAGCTGCTGGTTGTAGACAGACAGACTGGCTTTGGTACTGGAGGTGGTATGTAGCCATCAAGGTTGGTACCCAATTTGCCCAATCCCTTGTTAAAGCCATCCAGATTGGTGGCTATCCCTACATCTTGTGGAACTAAGTATCACGGTTTAGCCAGGTGCTGTGTGAAGTACTCCCATTAGCTGCCCTAAATTGGACAACACCCAATGCTAGCATTATGGCAGGGAGATTGAGAAACCCACCTCCCTACCTACTTCACGCCACACATTATTTTGTACAAGCCTAAAGCAGAGACATTACCCTGCCGACAAAAGTGCGTATAGTCAAGGCTATGGTTTTCCCAGTTGCAATGTATGGCTGTGAAAGCTGGACCATAAGGCTAAGCGCCAAAGGATTGAGGCCTTTGAATTGTGGTGCTGGCAGAGACTCCTGCGAGTCTCTTGGACCACAAGGAGATCAAACCGCTCTGTCCTAGAGATCAACCCTGACTGCTCTTTAGAAGGCCAGATCCTGAAGATGAAACTCAAATACTTTGGCCACCTGATGAGAAGGAATGACTCCCTGGAGAAGAGCCTAATGCTGGGAACAATAGATGGCAAAAGAAGAAGGGGACGGCAGAGGATGAGGTGGCTAGATGGAGTCACTGAAGCAGTTGGTGTGAGCTTAAGTGGACTCTGGGAGATGGTGGAGGACAGGAGGGCCTGGAGGAATGTTGTCCATGGGGTCGCGATGGGTCGGACATGACTTCGCGACTAACAACAAATCATGTGGGCCCTCACTCTCCCCGTCCTAAGCTAAGCACTCCTAGCTGTTGTACCCGTTCCTCATAAGGGACTGCTCCAGCCCGTTCAGCTCTGTGTGGGGTGAGGGTCAGTGCACGGCTGGGGCAGGGGAACGAGTGGTCCCCAGGATCTGCCAACACGCCTGTTCCCAGGCGAGCTCTTATCCCAGCCTCCCTTAAACCACCCGCGCTAGCTCAGAAGTGCCAGCCTTGCCATGATCAGTGCCTGCCTCAGACTGGAGGAGCCGGGTTTGCCATCTCTCTAGCCTGGTCAGTGCTTTGGTTGGACTGGGACTCTTGCCCAGAGGGAAGCTCCCTTCCCCCACAGGAGGGGGGCTGCCCCCTGCAGCTGACGGATGGCGGATGCCTGCCAGCTGGCTTGGCCTCCAGGAGGGCTTTTCTGCGTTGGCCTGAAGGGGGTTGGCAGCAACCCCAAAGAAGATAATGGGGTGCAGGGGCCACCCCTAACATCTTGGCCAGTTTGTTGTTTTTCCCTGGGTTCTGGTGTGTGTGTGGGAAGGGTCCCCTTCATAGAGCCTGGGGAGAGAGGATATGGGGCCGGGGGGGGGGGCACACCCACAGGGAGTTGTCTCAAAGTAGGCCCTATTGAGGTCTCAGAGTGCAGGTAAGGATTCATGTAAGAATTAGCTGGTCCAGAGGATACTTCTGGTGCCAGGAGGGAGGGAGGGAGGAACTGAAGCGCCGGAGCTTCCTGTGCAAGGACACTGGGCTCATCTGTAAAGGTGCCAATTGTTGGCAGCTGAGGGAACGGGAGGGGGCCCTCCTAGGACTGGCTGGCAGACATCACCCCATCTGCAGGACAGGGGGCTAACCCCCCCCCCCCCGCAAACTTTGGAGGGCTATCTCCTGCTAGACTCCAATGCTGGTGGAGGTGTCTGTCCCTGACCACTTTCAGAGACCATCACTGTGACGGAGGAGAGCTGCATTAGGTGAGCAAAGGACATGTCACCTTTTCTGCTTTGTTCTGATGGTGCACCAAGGAGTCCAGGTGCCCCAGAGTTGGGACAGCAGACAGCCTGGGTGCTTAAATATTTCTGCTGCTTTCCCTTTTCTGAATCCAAGTCCTCCTCCTCTTTTCCTCTTTGCTTTAAGAAATCTTTACTACGGTTTGGTGTTTGGGTGAATTGTGCTGCTAAGTCTGGTGTCCAGACCATGGAGATGGATCAAGAGCTGGGCTGCCTTGGCCCAGAGGCAGAGGGTCAAAAGGGGCCCCTTCTGCTACACTGACCTCTGGCATTGCTACCTGTGTGCTTCTAAGCCCAGTTCAGGGAGCCCGTTTTAACCTACACATCCTTGCACAGGTTGGGACTGCAGCATTTGGAAGTCTCTCTCCCAACCACAGCCTACTCAGAGATGACAATCAACACCTGAGGTCTTCTTCTGGGGAGGGCCTTCCCTTTGAGGAAGCCTGAGAGGGCCTTCTCAGTGGTGCCCCCAAAGGATCTTGGCGCTTGGTACCTAATCTGTCTTCTTTTTGCTGCTAGGATAAGGCAGCCCCTTGCAACAAGGCACTTCAAGCCATCTAACGATATCTAATGGCTTCATGAGGGCTCCCAAGCCAGGTGCTTTTACTCTGTATCTAATATTTTGGCTGTTACATTATTAAATTTTGCATTTTTGAATAATTCTATGGCTTGGTTTTAATACAGTCCTGTTAATTAACAGTTGTAAGCCTCCCAGAGAGCTTTGGCAATTGGGTGGCATAGAAAAGAAGTAATACTGATTTTTCCAGGCAGCAGGCTGGCCCCATCTTGCCTGGAATGCCCCCCGCCCCCCGCTCCACAAAACCGACACAGAGGGAGACTTGAAATATGATAAGTTCCTTTTTTGTCTTTTTTACACAAATATGTACAGGGTATTATACACGTCTCTACACAGACACAGTGCCAGTGAGAACACAGCTCCCTGTGGGGGGGCACACGTGGGCCGCTCCCGACACACCCATTCGCCACCAGCGGAGCCTTCGGCGCTCTCCCGGTCATCCCAGGCTGAGGTTGTGGGGCTGCTGCAGGAGGGGCCGGGGCGGCAGGCACTACTAGGAATCTGGTGCCGAGGCGAACCAGTGCGGACACGGGCGGGAACCCTGGCATGGGACACGTACTATGTCTGGACAGAATCAGAGAGACATCCTGGAACAAACAATTAAAATGAAACCCACGTGCATTTCAGAGCGGGCATGGCCATGTGCGTGATGGTGGGAGGAGGAGGAGGGATGCCAAGCCAGGCTGTCCCAGCCCCGCACTCCCCGTGCGCATTGGGCTGCCAGTCCGGTAATTCCCCGCCAGTGTGGCCAGCGCATCCGCAGGTCCCAGGCTGCTGAAACATGGGCTCCACCAACCCGCTCCACCAACCCCTGGAAAATACCACCAAAAACAACCCCCCCCCCAAGCTGAGGGCCGGTTCGTAAGGGTGAAATGGGCTCCTCAGATTCTCAGGTCCCCTCCTCGAAGGGAGTGTGAAGTCCGGCTCCTTCTCTCCATCTCCTGGGGTTCCCAGTCAAGAAGCTTCAAGCAACAGCCATCCTGGGTTTAGTCCTGACTGATAGCAAACTACACCTTCTTGATGGCACCTCAGCTACCTCTTTCTTCGCTTTTACCACCGAGCGCATCAGCCACTCTGCAGCCCTATCAGGGTTTGAGATTTGGTTTACTGACATCCACAAGAGGCGGCGAGTCCTCAGCTGGAAGGGCAAAGCAACACACAGCAACATGACAGCAACACACATACCCTTGGAGGGTGACTCGTTGCTTACACATCACACTGGTGGCTTCCCATCAGGGGCAGCTTCTTAAAGGCAAGGAACAGTGCAGTGAAGATGAGGAGAATGCAAAAACTGAAAAGGCCAAGCAGCTTCTCTTGGGGTCTGGTGCAGAGAAAGGAAGCGACTGTAGAAAAGTCAACTCTCCAGTCCTCAGGACCAGCGACCCCACAGAAGCCAAAACCAGCCAGAAGCGAAAGGCCTACTAGTGCTTGCCCACATGCCAAAACCCCATATCAAAGGGTGGGGTGCTACCATCAAGACCCCGCATTCCCTTTATCTGCCCCTTCCCTGTGCAGCCGAAAGTACTTTTCCGAAGTGATATACTGACAGGGTCCACAGGAACGGATTCTATGGCCGCCTTTAGCACCTGCCAATCTTACAGAAGGGAAAAAAGTGGGGAAAGAAGCGATCCCAAGCGTCTGTGCAAATGATGCCAACACAAGGGTGGGATGACAGGGGTTTAAAGACCCCTTTCACAGAACGTCCATGAGACAGAGATGCCTCCCAGCCGAAGGCGGGCCCTCGAGTCGCATGCAAGGCGGTGAGTGGGGTGCGAACAACAGGGGTGGGGCTGCCTCTTATGGAGCACATGGGGGGCCTCATGCCAGAGCCAGAGGCACGGCGGGGGAGCTTCCCGGCCCCTGGGATGCAGGAGTCTCTCCCCCTCTATGGGAACCTAGGAAAACCAACCCTCCTCTCCTCCACCGTTTCCCTAGAAATCAGACAGGACAAGAGAACGTTTGGGTTTTAGTCCATTTTAAGGGTAAAACAAAGTGCAAATATGCTGCAGAACCCCAACTGCACCGTGTCCCAGGTCTGAGACCCCCTGCTGTTGCGCCACGTGGGGCACAACCGCTCGTTGGGGATGGGGAGAATGGGAGAGAAGACCTGCCAGCCCGGACGGGGCCCTCACGCCCTCCCGTCTTCCGCACTCCCCTCGCCCCGCAAGGGGTGCTCCTTGGCTCCGGGGAGCCGCTCCTGCCACTGGCTCTCGGGGTCACTGAGCCGCGTGCTCCGGCGGGGGCTTTCATAGGGCACCGCTCATGCAGCAGCGCCCCTGCGGCTTGGTCCTCTCGCTCTGGGCAGCCTCCCCTGCAGGGACAGAGTGGCCGGCCAGCGCCGTCACCGCGGGGCCTCTCAGGCACTGGAGATGAAATGCTTGCCGAGGCACAAGCACGTGGGAGAACTTAGACGCACGCCTTAAAAACAGCTCCGCTTGGCCGGAATGACCGATTCCCACCAGGTGCAAAGCCACACGCTCTTAGCTGGGGAGTCGAGTACCATGATTAAAGCTCCATTCTCTTTTACATCTAATACATTAGTAGCGTTCCTGATCCTAGATAAGGGAGGGGAGAGGGGGAGAGGGTGTGCGCTGAGGGAGGGGGTGGCCGTTTCCACCAGGAAGCATCCAGGCCACAGTGGTCCCTGGCGCCCCCTCCCTCCCTGCCCCTGCTGAGGAGCAGGGGGCCCAGCCACCCCCTCCCAACGCCATCCTGGGCTTGCAAAGTTTCAAAAGAGTAGGTAGGTAGCTTGTAAGAGGAATCCCCTCCCATCCCAGAGGAGGAGGATAGAGAGAGGAGCAGGATGGGAAAGATGGGGGTGAAGGTCCAATGAAGAGGCTCTCCCCACCTCAGGTGAGCAGTGGATGCAGCGGCCAGGTGGGTGGGAAGGTGCGGCGGCAGGGGCCTGCCCATTCCTCCCCTTCCTCGTCTCTCCCTCTGTCGCTCACACATACACATACACATGGTGCGTAGCAGCCTTGGCAGCTCCCAGGCCCCCCTCGCCCCCCTCTGCGTTCCTCGCATCCCTAGTGATGGATCTCGTTTTCTATCAGGCTGTCCTCGCATGACTGGAAATCCGTATCATTTATGCCATTGGGGTTGATGAGCTCCTCATCTTGGGACCCCTGTTCCTCGGACTCGGCCACGTCGCCCTCCGGTGAAGAATCTTGCAGCACCTGGGCAATGTACTTCTGCTGTGGAATGGATATACAGAACAGAACAGTAACGATAGTCATAGCAATAACGGGTTGGGGAACCCCCTCGCTCACTCGCTCGCTCTCTCTCTCTCTCTGGGCGGGGAACCCTGGCAGCAGAGCATGATGGGGAAGCGCCATGCAGCCGGGAGCGTGAGAGTGGTCATGCCAACCCAGAGGAGGACTAGATGAGGGTCCCACCCCAACAGTGGCTGAGAAACAGTTTAAGAGAAACAAAATTAAGAAAGGTTGTGTATAAGAGCTTTCTTTCAGCACGATGGGGAGACGTTTAGGCTTCAAGGGGAGGCACTGCCTTCTTGTTGCGTACTAAAGGGCAACCCTAACTTAATGAAAATCTTGGAGGTACTTGGAAGGAGAAGCATACTCCAAAAACCTGGACAAAGGCAAACACTCCAGTCCACTGATCCCTTGCAGGGAAAAGAGCTCTGAGGTATCAGTAGAGCACCATTCACTTCTATGGCAGATCCAGCCCCCTGGACACAACGTAATGGGCAAGTGGACTGCCTTCCTCCCCTGGCTGGCAAATGGGGAAACCAGCTCATGCAGAAGCCCAGTTTGTGCCCTCAAGGAGAGTGAAAGAATGTCAACAGTTTTGCACAATTAAAATGTTGTGTAAATGGATGGTGATCGTCCATCTTCTGTATTTTAGCCAAACCAGCCACTCTTGTCAAGTTTTAAAAAATGAAACACTGCTGTGCAGAAACACTATACTGGGAGTTTGCCAAGCTCGTGGAAGCCAGGGAAAGACGATCTGGGCTTCCCTGTGGCGCGGACTGCAGCCACGAGCATTTCCACAGTGCCTGCTCAGAGACAATTTGGATCTCAAGGGACCTGGGGTACAAGAAGGGGGGTCCCACAAAGTCTCTGTTGAATTAATATTCCTCAAAACTAATTTGCACTGGGAAATGGCAGGCCTAGCTTTTTCTGCAGCACTCACAGCACATGCCAATGAGTTACAGCCAGGAAGCAAAAGAGAAAGGGGGCACTGACCAGTCTGGCTTCACTGTCCGGCTGAGAGACAGAGGCAGAAAGTGAACACGCAGCATGGGGAGGGGGAAATAGGAGGCTGCAGGTCCTTCACCTCAGAGAGTGCCAGTAATTGAGAAGTCTGTATTCAGCCTGTGCATTTCGGTTGCTGCCCGTGCATAGCCCCAAAAGTCTGACAGGACATCTGAAAAGGCCTCTCCCTCCTCCCCAAGCTCAGACATAAGAGGACACAGAACATCTGGCGAGGCAGAAGGCAAACGGAGGAGCTGGAGACTCACAGCTGATTTAGGAGCGGGTGGCTGGCTGGCAGCAGGTCGTCCGTTTTCCCTCCCATCCACAGCATCCACCTCTGTGTGATCGATCTGGAAGAGAACAGCGTGGCATGAAACCAACCACAAAGGCTGGAACCAGCCAGTTTATCCCTGTCTACTCTGCAAGAAGGCTTCTACATAATTTAACCTGGAGGGCCTAACCGAAGGCAACAAGCTCGGGAGGGGCACCCGGGAACTCTAACACGCTGCTAATACCTGTCCTCCAACAAGGACATTCTACAAGGCCAATTTCTACATTACAGCACCACTGCGGAGGCTACTCCTGCAGATCTACCTCTTGCGTGGCTTCTGCAATTCATGGAGGACAAGCCTATCAATGGCTGCCGCTTCTGATGTCACAAGCGGTTTCCAGTAACAGAGGCATTTAGGTACAACAGTTGCTTGGGAATGCAACCACAGGGTGCTTGTTACACACATGGCTTGCTTGTAGGTCTCCTACAGGCACTGCGGTTGGGCTGCTTTCTGTGTGAGTGGGATGCTGGACTGGATGGATGGTCTGATCCAGCATAGCTCCTCTTATGTCATGGAAGAACAGTGTGTATGGGTACCTGTGCCAACACTGTTTTCCATGGAGACCGGGCACCCTGTATCTGTGGCCCTGCTGACACTGTTCCCCCAGGTGTGCGTGTCTGACGTGGCCTGAGAAGAAGCCACAGGGAAGGGATAACAGGGCCATGGCAAGACTGCAGGGATCCCTCACTGGCAGCAACCGCAAGTGGCAGGCACGGAAGAACCAGTACGGAGTCACTTTGGACACAGTGCTTTTCCAGCTGTGTTCTCACGTGGTAAGACAGATATACATGAAGAGCATACACACGTGTATAGGGGATTTTCCCTACCTTTTCAACACATGGACAATGGACGATGTACACAAATATACATGGGACTCTTCTCTGCCTCTCTAGGACAGGGATGGGGATTGTGTGTCCCTCCGGGTGGTATTGGATTGCAAGTCCCATGAGCCCAGGCCAGCACAGCCGATGGTGAGGGATGATAGGAGCTGCAGTCCAACAACACTGGGGAGGGTACATGTTGCCCGGTTCCGCTTTAGGAAAACATGGGAAGCAGCCTTCCGGGGCAATCGTCTCAGCCCAGCCCCAAGCTGCCCTGAAAATCGCCCTTCCCTCGAACAGACATTTAGTGCATTACCTTGTAATTGTGAGCACTGAGGTATTTGAAGTGTCCAAAGCAGACATGACACAAGCAGATCACGATGGTGATGACAAGAACCACAAAAGTAAACATGGATGTGAGAGCCAGGAACCCTGCGGAACGCAAGCAACCGCCGTCAGGACTGTGCGCACGCACCGCACCTGCCTTCCCCTTGCTCCCCGGGTGCTGCTTTAGCATCCCACCTGCGGGTGACCTGCCCCACTTTTCCAGTGCAGGAGGAGTGCGCCCCCCGCCCCCAGCAGGGCAGTGGCTGAAGTATGGGTGGCATGCAGTTTGTCACTGAACTGCATACTGTCTGAACCTGGCTGAGACAACACATCATGGTAAACAACCCGCAGTTCATAAGCCAACAACAAACCATGGGTTCTCTTCATACGTTGTTCATGGTTACAACCCATGGCTTGTTAAGGCAGCTGGATTCATATTACACAGTATGCTATGTGGGTTACCATGTTGTCTCAACTCAGGCATTTTATTTCTCTCTCTCAGCCCATCCTGTCCCTTCCCTTCATGCTTCCCCCATCAGCTGTGAAAGCACCACAAAGGCTGGGTGGCTTTTTACACTACCAGTGCTTTCGCGTGGACAGAACCTGCTCTCAAATCGCTGTGTATCAGCTTAAACAAATGGGAACAAACGGAGGTAGTGACTCAGGAAAAGAGGATAGAGGATGCAAACGGGCGGCAGCAAGAGCTTTCCTCAGGTCCCCTTCCCCTGATCCCTCTTGCGCTTGTCCACAAAGGCCTAAAGTCAAGAACAGGGATAGGCAGGAGGGGGAGCTGCAGACGTTTTGGATTCAGGGCAGGTGTGGAGGCAAATCATGTAATCCTACCCAGGCTTGGAGCGGTCACTGCCTGGATGGAAAAACACCCGAGAGCCTTGATCTGCATGGAGTCAAGGTGGGATGTAAGGACAAGACTAAGTATATACGGGAAACTGGAGTAAAACATACCTTTCACAGATGGAGAATATTTTATTCATTTATTATTTTTTATTACATTGATGTCCCACCTTTCTTCCTCTTGCAAGGAACCAAAGCACCTTATATGGGTTCTCGTCCTGTCTGTGTTATCCTTGTAACAACACTGTGAGGGAAGTTGGGCTGGGAATCAGTGTGATTGACCCAAAGTCACCCAGTGAGCTTCCTGACTGAGTGGGGGCTTGAATCCAGGTCTCCAAAGCCCTGGTCCAGCACATCACCTGGCTCTCAGGACACAGTAACTGGATGGAGCCTCAAACACAGCCAGGAAGTTTCTACCTCCACTGAAGCACAGGTTAAATATCCCACAAGTTGTCTGAATGGACGATAAGCCAGGGAGGCCCTTACTCCAAGATCTGCACGCTGAAGAGATGCCTCTAGAAACGGGCTCCTTCTCTCTTCTGTCCTTATCTATTTATTTGGTGGACTTATTGTTCCCTAAATTGGACCAAAAGCCCTCTAAATGGATTGCAAGTTCTTTTGTTCCTGTGCTCCACAAAAGCCTATAATTCCAGGTGTGGGCAGCCCAGTGCCCTCCAAATGCATGGAATTACAACCTCCTAATCCTTGCTGTCTGAGGATGATAGTTTAATACCTGTGAAGTGCCCTAGGCTGGGAAAGGATGCTCAGGAATAGTGCAATTAATCAGTACCTCTAGCTACACTCTGTAATGATTAGAACAGTCTTCCAAGATCTGCCCAGTTCATGGAGTAGCTCAGCATATTCCTCAGTGAAGCCTTTATATGTTGTAAAGACAGGCATTAACAAGCTAGGCTCAGCATTAAAAGTAAAAATGCACCAAGAGAGCCCCTAAAACGGAATGCTGATAGACCTGACTCACCTGTGCGCACAGTAGAGAAGAAGAGAAGCCAAAAGAGGCAAAGGATAGGTGCTGCCACCACCTGGTTCACAGCCCCTGAATGGATCTTCTTATCCAACTTGGCTGGCAGATAAGCATAATAGAGGTTGTACCTGTCCACCAGATGCTTCAGCAGCATATACATCAGACCTAACAGAATAAAACAGGGAGAGAAATCAGCTGAAATCTCAGTTGAACAGCAGATGAAAGACCAAAGTGTAAGTTTGTTTCCTTTTTCTTGTATGGATGGGCTAAATCTGAAGAAATTGCAGACTTGATCTAAACATTGCTAGGCCTCTAAAATGTGTTCTTCAGCTCCCAGCAGGCAACGAACCAAGAAATGCTGGGGGAGTTGTACTCTATTTGTTGGTCTAGGCAACAATCCTCTCATGATGATTGTAAGCCTTCAATCTCAGAAGCTCTCTCCCAGAGGGAGTGCTAGAAGCAATAGCCATGATCTTCATCTCTCTTCCTGCCCTGCATTTTTGCTAGATGGGCTTTATTGCCTATCTAGGAAATACATTTTCAAGGAGCAGGGAGGGAAGCTGGATGCAGAATAGCTCATATCCGTGGCTCTCTAGTCTTCTTTCCTCCCTACTCACTCTTGTGTCTCCATTTCACCCCTCTCTGAGGTTGTGTTCCCAAACTTGAAGAGGCAGCTGGTACAGGTTTTTTTCCTTCTTTTGGTATAGACTGGGTGGAGGACAGGGAGAGAGGGAGGCTGGGAGTCCTAGATCAGGGCACTGTCCCCTACCTTGGATCTAGGAGCTGAACTATCCGAAAAGGTAAAGGTAAAGGTTTCCCCTTGACATTAAGTCCAGTCGTGCCTGACTCTAGGGGACGGTGCTCATCTCCGTTTCCTGGCTGAGGGAGCCAGCGTTTGTCCGCAGACAGTCTCCGTGGGCATGTGGCCGGCATGACTAAACACCAAAGTACACGGAATGCTGTTACCTGCCCACCAAAGTGGTACCTTTTTATCTACTTGCATTTGCATGCTTTCGAACTGCAAGGCTGGCAGGAGCTGGGATGGAGCAACAGGAACTCACTCCGTTGTGCATGTTCGAACTGGCAACCTTTTGATCAACCAGCCCAGCAGCACAGCGGTTTAAACCACTGCGCCACCTGCAGTCCCTTGAAATATCCTATGGCCTCTCAAATACTACCTAGGGGCCATAGGATTGCTCCATTATTTGCCTCAACTCATATACTGCTTGTCTGGCAAATACCCATGGTGTTTTATGGTAGTAAACAGTGATGACAGAAACAACAAGAAGAATAGATAAATATTACAAGGAAATATCCAAATAATACAGTACTAGCCAATGAATTTAAAAAAAAAAAACTTGAAGCGCCAGCAGTAAAACTGATACTTGGAGCAATAAATGAGCAATTAAATGTATATTGGAAAAAGCAGGTTTTAACCTGGCCTCCCAAGATTAGCTGGCCAATCAGGCAGTATCACATGGGAGGAGGCGATCCTTCAAGTACTTCTAACTGAATCCACCTTTTGTCCATTATTTCTAGTAATGCAGTCAATTGCCCTTTATCACCTGGGTATCATCTTAAGCAACTTGTTTTAGGGAACCAATTAATAGATAATGGTGAATACATCTTCTGGGGGAAGGCAAGGCAAGGCAATGCACTAGTGCCTACCAAAGGGGACAATGATGGGACAGGTGATACTGTAGGTCATCACCACTGTGAAGACACACATCATCCAGGCATAGGCTGCCCCAAACTGGAATTCATAGGCCTGGTGCTGGAAGGCAGAGAAAGAAAAAGAGAGATCCTGTTAGCAAGCCTCAGGGAGGGAACCGAGCGACTATATCCTGGGTCGACAACAAAAGGGACCCAGGGGTACAAAACAGGAGGACACTGAAATCAGCAGCAGTCAAGTACTAAAATGAATGACGGGAAGCATGATATTACGGAAATCACTAACACTTAACATATTGGTAACACATTGTATAGTCACAAGAAGTTAGAAATCCTTCATAAATGACTAACGGTCAATGTTCCGTTCTAGAGTAGTGTGTAGCTGAGGGATTGTTTACAACTGTAGAGCAAGTGCTTGCAGCCGTAACTCGCACTGGGACCCCCAAGCCCCTGGAAGGGGAGATCACCCCTTCCTTTCCATCATTTGCTTCCTGACATCGCAACCACCCACGGAGGCAAATGGAAACATTTCCCTTTTGTGCAGAGTGTTCCCAGTCATAATCTGCTTTACAGTTAGCCTCTACTACATACTAGTTTGTACATAACATGCAATTTGTCCCGAAGAAACCAGTCTCTTTTGGTTGTCCAGCTATATTATTACAGCAAAAGGTCTCCTATAAGCAAATGAAAAATGGCACTCTGTCACTTAGGTCAAGCTGCCAAACATGGTGGTATCACAGTAATGCAACATTGGAGTCACCACCTAAAAACATTACGGCATACATAAAAAAGCCTGCAAGAAGAGCCCAAGTGAGTATATCCTGGGCATATGTCAAAAACAGACCACACGCCACACATTAATGTGTGTACATACTCCTGAGCCACTCCCAGCAGCCAGGTGGTGCTGAGCAGCTCTTGCTGGCTGGCTGCCATGCCAAGATGGCAGAAGCTACTCTCCCTGGTTGTTGTGGAAAAGGGCAAAGGGCAAGCTCTTTTTGCTGTCAATCCAACAAGTGGAGTATCTGACCTTGGGCCAGAACAACTCTCAGAAGTTCTTTGCCAGGTCAGCCTTCTTCCCTAGACACTGCCCCGCTTTACCCAGGTAGGGGAAAGCTCGTATCTCTATCAGCAGCTGATCAGTGATGTTGCCTGCTGCTTTCCTCCATCATCTTGCAGTTCAGCTTTTGAAAAGCTTGCAATGATATCAAAAGTGGTTGTAAAAGGAATTAATTGCTGCACAGGGATATTTGCATACATGTAGCTTTGTGTTGCTGTTGTGGAAGCGCTAATTCTTTTCTCCAAATGCTGCCCCCCACCACAAAAACTACCCCATGCAATATAATCAGACATTTTTAAAGCCCCTATTGGTAAGACTAGAGGATTTTAAAAAGTGTAAGTGCAGATGCTTCTCCAGGTGCTGCCCAAACCTCTTCCCCCATGAAGAGAAAGTGAAATCAAGCCGGGTGGACCAGTGACAAAGGTACACAGCCGTGGGGGCCTGGTGAGGAGGCCTGGTGCAGGAGGCCTGGTGAGGAGCAGTCCTGCCTATGTAAATCAGTTCAGCATCCTGGCTCCTGTCCTGGCTACATCTGGCTCTGCCCTTAGTTGTGGGCTGCACAAGGGACACGACTCTTCTCTGGCCTGACTTGCTTACCCGTTTGACATTCCTGCGTTCAGCAGCGGAACGGGCGAGGCAGAGTCGGATCATGTACATCAGCAGACCGGGGATGCGCAGCAGGTCCATGGCATTCCCGATAAATGCTGAGGCTATTACGTAGTTCACAAAAAAGGCCCCGTTGTCTGGCAAGAACACACACCTGCAAAAGAAAGAGGGAGAGACAGCGCCCTATAAGAGAAAGTAGACTGCCAACTCGGACAGACAGGAAGTGTAGCAGGAGGATGTGCCACAGGGAAGATGGCGAGGGACTTTGGGGTCAGACTTAGATATATTCTTATCCTTGACTAATTCATGCACCACTCCTTCTGGGAGAACGGCTTCCTTTTTTACTTAACCAGCTTGTTCGGGAGACTCTCCCCATTGCCTGAGTCACTCTCTAAGAGCTGTTGGCTGTCTTGCATACCTTTAGATCCCAGATCTGTCTGAGCTGCCCTGTTTATTTGCATACCTGTCCTTGGTACTGCCAGGTGCCTTAAGGGCGCAGTCCTATGCATGTTTAGACAGAAAAATCCCTACAATTGCGAACTGGCTGGGGAATGCTGGGAGCTGTAGGACTTTTTTTCTATTTAAATGAGAATCCTTTCAAACTCAAAAACTAACTGATTTCTCAAGGAGCACATCCGTGTGCCTTGAACCCTGTGCTCCCTCCACTTTCTTCCTGCCTTGATCGGCAGCCTCCAGATGGCAACAGACCAACCAGGCATCTCCATTCTGCTGTCTCAAGACCAGCCTCTTCCTCTTACCTTTCTTGCATCTCTTTGGATCCACACTTTTCTTTGGCACTCCCAATGCCATACATTACTGTATCTCTGGAGAATTCAGCAAGCAAGCTAGCTGATTTTTGGGGAGATGATCAGCGCTAACGGACCATGTATAAGAGCAGTTTTGGTTTTATATAAACTGTTAGGTTAGTTCATTCACACACACACACACACACACACACACGCTGCCCCCACCCCCAGTCAGCTTGCTCGCTTGCTTCTGAGCAGGCGAGATCCGTCACAGTCCAATTTCCTCCCATTTGTCTCAAGCCATCACTTACTCAAATCTCACGGCAGCCTCAGCCAGGAACTTTTTGTCAAACAGCCAGCGGAAAAAGACATCCAGACTAGAAGGAGAAACGTAAAGAGAAAGAATACTGTGTTATTACAGAAGGCATTTGGGACAGATGTGTTTTGTCTTCACACACCTCACAGGGTGTTATTTGCTGTGGTGAGACAAGGTCACACAGTCCAGCCAGGCCACTGGCTTCAGCAACAACCAATAAAGTGTTCCAAGGATGGTGACAGCATGACTATTTATTTCATTTCTATGGCTATTCCTGACAGCTCAAGCCTTGCTTGCTCTTTTGCCGTTCCTTCTTCTGAAAGAAGTCCCTGACGACCCTGTTTTCACCAGGTTGATAAACAGGGATGATGTTTTTTAATGGTTGCCTTAGAAGTATTACATTAGGTGTACGTCTATCCCACCTTTTTTCCTCTGGCAAGGGACCCAAGGCAGCACTCAAGGTTCTCCTCCTCTCCATTTTACCCTCACAAACCCGGCCCCCACGGGAAGTAGGTAAGGCTGGGAGGCAGTGGACCCAGTGAACCTCATCTGGCTCTCTTGAGTCTCAGGCCATCTGGGGTCATTCTGAAGGCAGAAGCTACACTACAGAGGCCTTTGTCTGACTGAAGTTTGATTGTCTATCCGGGTTCCCCAAGTACAGGTAATCCATGTTTAATCTTTCCTGAGGCTATGCAGAGGCTAAGCCAGAATGTCTGGCTTATTTATCTTCCTTCTGCATAACAATAGTGTGGCCTACAATCTTTAAGGCAGTGCAAAAAGCTTCCCTCAATAGCTGGAGGTTTCAATCAGACTCCTGGCTTTCAAAAGAGTTAAAGGTGGCCTGCAACTAACCTCCTTCAAAATGTGTCCTTTGTTTGGGGTCACAAAAGTACCCCACAGGACCAGTCTTATGCAAATGTAGGGACATTCTGTTTCCCCAGGCATGTTTTAGCTTAGTAACAGAACCCTGTAAAAGGTAGCAGGCTGAAACTGGGGGATATTCTTTACTATGCAGATTTTGACAATGCTCCAGAAGGATTCAAACTGTGGGTTTGCTGTTGTATAACTTATGCAACAGAATGTGAACCAGACAGAGGCCAATTTTCCCCAGATGTGGAAGTTCATTTTTTCTATTATGAAAAAAAGATCCTTGGGCATTATTGAAATAATTCTGTATCTTTTTGTTACAAATGCTGTTCTTGTTGTTATTTCAGTGTCATATGTTTTACCACGCAACTTCAAAAAGGTGCTTAGGCTTGCAATCCTGTGCACAGTTTCCTCGGAATGAGACCCCTTGAATTCATTGGAGCTTATTTCTGAGTAGACATAAGTTTGTTCAGGGTCCATTTTGATATCTTAGTTCCACCTTGGGATAACTGAACATGGAAAAATATATTCCAAACCTGAATGAATTTGCAACCACTGGCAAAGATTTAAAGGAAGAGTCTCAGAAAGGAAATACTTCGAGTTAGTATTCATAAAAACTAACTTGAAGCACAGTAATTTATCTGTAATACCATTCTTGAATCGATAACCATGTGTATCCCCAAATATGTAAACACAGTGCTGAATGCAGCAATATCAAATATTAATTATCACTTTTATTCTGCTGCCCTACCATCTTCTGACTGGCATATACCAATAGGATGCATCTTTTTTTAAAAAAAACCTTCTTTCATTTGGGTAATAGCAATAAGCAACACTCCATAAATTTTCTCTTTTACCTGCTCAGACCTAGTGATGGCAACAGCAAAACCATGAAGATGAGGAAGGTGTAGCACTTGTGCATCGTCGTCCTGTTCTCTCCAGACCTGGTGGCAGAGAGAACGTTAGAAGGATCGCAGTGAAAAATCAGAAGGGCCAGAAGCTTCAGTAGCTTGTTTTGGTGTCCAGCATTAGGCACGATGTGGAGAAAGTGAAGACGGAGATATTTTCCCCCCATTCCCATAATAATAGAACCCAGGATGATCACCAAGCTGAATGGTGGGTGATTCAGACTAGATACAAGTGCTTCTTCATGCTGCAAACAGCTAAACTGTGTCATTTCCTACTCGATGTAGTGATGGCCACAAATTTGAATGGTTTTTGAATAGGACACAGCTACTGGTTAGGACAGCTCTAAGTTGCCCCTAGTAGCAGGAGCAGCGTGCCTTTGTGTACTAGTTGTGGGGAACTTGGGCAGGAAACTTGTGTTCACGTCCTGCTTGTGGGTTTCCCACCAGCAGCCAGCTGGCCATGGTGGGACCTGAATGCTGAGACAGGCCTTAACACGGTTCTATGTTTTTATAGAGCAGATCTCACTGGCAAGTGGGAAATGGTTGCAGAAGAAGTGACACCCCTGCTCAACAGTTCACATGGCATTTTCCACACTGTTCTTCCCTGCCAAGGAACATTTCTATTTTACAGAAAAACACAACTTGCCCAGTGTAGGGGGCTGGGTTTTTATTTCTTTTATTTTTATTTATTTTTCGATTTATATCCTGCCTTTTTCCTACAAAGGGCTCAAGGCAGCTTACATCATTCTCCTCCTCCATCTTATCCCCACAACAACAACCCTGTGAGGTAGGTTGGGCTGAGAGTCGTGACTGGCCCAAAGTCACCCAGTTGGCTCCATGGCTGAGCGGGGACTAGAACCCAGATCATGTGAGTCCCAGTCCCATGCTCTTCACCACTACACCACACTGGCTCTCTTAAGGTATATTATATAATATAAATAACGTTTCATTCATGTTGAAGCTTCTTCAAGACTATTAGTCAAAATGCATTAGGTTATTTACTATTTTTCAACATATATAACATATTTCCATCCTATAAAATGGCTTCCAAGAGAGCTAATAATATGATGAATACAGCAGGAAAACCTACCTCAAAAATAAAGATTTGAAATATTCTGTAAGGAAAGAGTAATGACTGCATACCAGAAAATTTATGCCTCTCTTATTTAAATTTGCTAAAAGAAGGATAAAGTCTACAGAACATACTTAGAACCATAAAAGCAGGCAGAGGGGAGCCAGGGAGGGGAATTCTAAGCAGCAATTTGGAGCAATTCTCCCACTGCCCCATCTCACCTGGTCCAGTGGGCTTCAAAGAAGGCGGAATAATACACAATGGTAGGAAGCAGAGCAGAGAAACACCACAGGAGCAAGGTAGGAAAGAACTGGGTGATGATGGGATTCTGGCAAGAGAAACAAAGAGAAACAAATTCCTATTTCAAGGGATGCTGGGGAAACACAGAACAATCCAAAATGCAGAGCACGCAGTGGGAAGTGCCCAAGGGAACGTTTCAACAGGACTTCCCTGCAAGAGGGTTCTTAACCGCCCGCCAACCTTCCTGGGTTTACAACAGAGCTGGGCAACATGCATCCCACTCCCGGTGTAATCCTCACTCTCCCATCACGCCCCTCCCCCCCAAAAAATCGGGGAAATGGGAGGAGTTGCTGCCAAAATTCAGTGGCAAGCCACTACCGGAGCTTATGAAGGGCAAATTTAGCTTGTTTTCAAGCTAAACTTGTTAACAGTAATACAAGTAGTACAGGCTCCTGGATAGCGACACATTTTGTTGGTTTTCAAGCTGATTTTTTTGTTTCTTGTTTTGTTTTGCCAGTGCCCCCATAGCAGCCATGGGGGTGGGAAGAAATTGGCCCCTGTACTTTCCAAAATTGCCCACTCCTGGTTTAAAAGACAGGATTGCAACACCCACAGTATTTTTGCAACCGGCTGGTAACATTTCACTTTCTGATATGTTACCAACCCATGAATACCCAGAATTTAACTACTGCTGGCCATGCTATGCTGGTTTCAGTCAGTTCCATTTTCCTTCTTCCAAACTTTACATAAACCAAATTTAAATGGGTTTCCAAACAGTGACCACAAATGGGATTCCTCTTCTCTTTATGATCCATTTATTACCACCATTAGCTCAGCAAGGAGTTACACTGGCCTACAGTCACCTAATGCGCTGTCCTCAGAGGTCACGACCAGCAACTTGGTGATTTCCAAGTCTTCAGCAAAACTCCTTTAGGGAGTCATTGACCCATATTGTAGTATATTTGAGTTATTCAGGGAACCAAAGGAATGAAGACAGATTTAAATAGTTGTAAATGCCCCCGCTTCAAACAGACTAATGTGTGTTTTAACACTTTATATGAAAAGATACACTTATTCTAGACCCAGCTCAGCAACATGCATATAAGCCAGAGTTATCCTTGCAGCCTCACTGACTGCATGGGGAATGAAGCTATATAAAACAGCGGAGTGATCGCAGGCAAGTCATCTCCTGCCTTTACCTGTTTTCACACTCCATGCAAGAGACCCCCAACCAGAAGGACAGAGAAATTGCTCATAGACTAGGCTTATGCTTACTGAAAGGGAAAGAAAGGAACCACTTTCCAGAGTTCCTTCCCATTCTGGGCAATTGAGTTTAAAGGAAGCAGAGAAGATATAAATCTTACATTCAGGTACTCAACCGGCTTGGTGACATTGAACTTGTCCATAGTGGTGATGATGATGGCAGGAGTAGTGAGGAAGAAGAGCAGGAGGAAGAGTACCACATTGATGATCAGGCAGCGGATCCACCAGATGAAACCACGAATGGATAGATGTTCCCTGAAGAGGAGAGAAAGCAAAGAACCAAACTTTGACTTTGATTCTTGAAGGCATTGTCTGTTTTTTGAAAAAACCCGGGGATAAATCTAGTTCTCTTTGTGGCACAGCCTGCTATCAAATACTGTATCACCAACAAGCCTAGATCAACTCAATGCCATAAGAGAATCATTTGAGAACATCTTGCTTTGGCACCCACATATTCCAGAGACAATCCTCTCTGAAGCACAATAGCTAGATGGCGACTTCCCCGTTTAGACCATGGAGAGGCAGTATTTCAGTTTACCAGTAAATGTTCTGAGGATCAGGCGCATACGAGACCGTCCAATTGGAGATGTGGAGAGACTCGCTGCAAGAGGAGGCCCGGGGCTCCCCACGGCACCTACAACCTTGACACTTGCACACATTGAAGTCTTTAAGAATTCTGTAAGAAGAAAAAGAGGCAAGAGATAAACTTTTCTTGGGAAGAAGCCAGAGCAAAAAGGCAACAGCTATTACCCGATGGAAATATTTTACTAGTCAAAACTAGAATTCTGTCTTTGGCTGTGGGAAGCGATCAACTGAGGAGAAACTTGACAGACGTGTGAAAATTATGAACAACCTGGAAATGGTGGACAGAAAGTTACTGTCCCTTATTGACTGAGTTCAGACATTCACATTCAAGTGTTGTGTAAGGACTGTGTGTGAGTTCTTGTTGAACAGCAGGTTATTGTGTTGCCTGACCCCAGTGGACCAGCAAGCTAAGGCTTGTTAACTATGAACAATTCATGGCTTGTTAACCAGAAAGAACCCATGAAGAGAACCAATGGTTGGTTGTTGGGTTGTGAACTGTGGGTTGTTCGTTATTTCACTGGAGTGCAGACAATATAACCCATCTTTCAACAACAACCCATGGTCTAACAGCAAGCCACACTCACCTCACATTGATCACTTGGATGCAGATTGTTGTGGTGTCTGAATCCTACACAGTTTTATACAATGAAATGGACTGGGAACAGGATCAAGAAGGACCAGAAAGAGTAATAGAGCTGGAAGGGACCTTGGAGGCCAGCCAGACCTGTTGTGCATAACTGATATATGGAATTTCCTATCATGAGACAGGGTAGCACAGATGACTTTATAGCAGTTCCATGGAGGACAGACATATAAATGGGTATTATCTACCAAATAAAACCTCTACTTTCAGAGGTTTGACACTTTGATGCTGATAATTACCAGTCCTTTCAGGACCATGAGTTTTCCAGGGATATTGAACTGACTACTGCCGGACTAGAAGGACCTTGCTCTCATCCTGCAAGGCATCCTGCAAGGAATTTCTGCCACCCCTTTCTGCCAACTAAACCACATTTGTTCACCTTGAATTCCTGGCACTCACATGGCTGTAATGGCTTCATTATGGAAGGTGACAAAGGCCATGCCCAGTGGCTTCTCGTTCACCTTCTCCTTTTCTTTCTTGTAGTCTTCTTTTAGCTTTTCCTCCAGTTTCGTGTAGTACTCCGTGGCCTCCACCTAGCCAAGCACACACAGAGTCAGGGCATGAGTCCTGTAGCCCCACAGGCACTTCAGAAACGTTGGTACTTATGTCCTTAGCCCAGCATACACATCAGGAACTCAATTTTTGTCTTGTGTTTTGACTGTAAGACCATGTTCAAAAGCTTCATTTTATGGCTGTCTTAACTGGGAGCTCCAGTCAATGGGTCAAACCATGATAACACAGAGTGGTCAAATACCTGTGAAGCAGCTGTCTTGAAACAGGCTGGGTAGCTCAGCCAGATCTAGCTCCCAAGAGCAAAGTAAAGCTTCATTAATTGGGCTGAATGACCTTAGTTGCTTACCTGTGAGAAGGAGCCCATCCCCTTCCAGGGACAGAGACCAGGTCTGGAGTTGGCCTGAGACTGCCTGCAGATCTACCCTGAGTTGTAAAAGGCTCAAGGATAAAAAAGGACCTGTAAGCTGCCTAGATGTCGCCCTTTTTTGCATCAACTTGCCTTGGGCTTATGAGTTCTAGACTGGGCTCTGCCCTGCTGAGAGACTCTCACTTTGGTAATGCCTAGATCTGGCTTAGAATTGCTTTCTTATTTTATTAGGATATTGCAGGGGTCCTCAAACTTTTTAACCAGGGGGCCAGTTGAAAGGTGCCGGTGCTGGGCGCGGGCCGGAAAGGTGGTGCCGGTGGTGTGTGCGGGCTGGCGCAGGGGCGGGGTGTGAGGCGAGGGGAGGCGAGGCGGGGCGGGCGCATGAGGCAGCGGCTTGCTCGCTTGGAGACCATTTTCTCCGAGTAAGCAAACTGCTGCCTCCCTGCGCGCAGGCATGGGCATGTGTGGCGGGTCCAAATGGGCATGGCGGGCTGGATCTGAACCCCGGGTCATAGTTTGAGGACCCATGGAATATTGTTTCAAACTTCTCATCCTTTTCCCTACATTAATAAACTTTATACCTATCTCTAGAGTTGTATGTACCTCCTTCCAGGGAGATTTCAGTACTAAAATCAGTGGCTTTTGATGGGTCCTTTGCTACCCTGTAACATTTTTGGCTTGGGGTTAAAATAGGGGGTGTTGACTTGAACCTTTAGTTTAGCATCCCAAATTTGTGCCGGAATCTGAGTATCTGGTCTGAGAACTGGAACCTGATCTGAGAATCTCCTGGTTCAGCCTGGCATGCATGTGGTAGCAATCTTTTGTTCCTGCCTACATATGGGTAACCCCCTTCCCCCTTCATGTTTAGGATCAGGAACTGCCCAGGAAATGGGAACAAATCCAAACAAGCCCCTTGGTGTTTCAGTCTCACGATCTATTAAATGCTATAGTGTTAGGGTGGGATCAGTGCAGGATCTGAAGCTTGTTTACGGGCTTGGGCAAGTCACTGTCTCTCAGCCTAAACAAGCTATTGGGTTGTTGTGAGTAGAATACAGCTCAACTAGATACACAGTTCTTTACCAAATAAAGGACTGTTGGTTGCTGAGTATATATAAACTACGTGGTAAATGCATGCAAGACGACAAATGGAATATTGTGCACCTATTCCCCAGACAGAAAGAGAGGATGTGCTAGATGCAAGAGCGACCAAAGCCTCAGGATCCATCCGTACATGCCTGAAGTACAAACACTGGGAGTACAACATACTCAGGCCTGAGAAAGCGTCCCAACATCCCCATCACTGTGGCTACTTCTGGGTGGAAAAGCAGTGGCATTCCAGATGGCTAATGGGAGTTGCGCCGCAGCAACATCTGGAGGACCGTTGGTTGCCCAGCCCCAGTGCTGCTTCTTAGCAGTGTTCCCGAGTCCCTTGCCATTCCCTGATCCCTCCACTGCACCTCTTCGCAGCCTTTGATAGCACAGCAGCAGAGGTGACCGCAGGGTTTGGGGTTGATCATAGATGGGGTGTTCTCCTTGGTCTGCAAGTTGGTAAAGTAGATCTTCCCACGCTCTGCCTTTTTTCTGAAACAGAGGAATACAGGAGAAGTAGAAGCTCAGAAAAACTAGCACTGGCAATCACAAGAGGAGCAACCTATGTCAGGCGTGGAAGGATGTGGGTGTGAGCAGGTTGTCTGTGTGTGTGTGGATGTGCCAGAGCAGAGTCATGAAAACAATCCACCTGGTTCCCAGCTAGTCACTGTCGTGCGTGTGCGTCCAGAAGAGTCCCTTACGTGTGCACAAGAGGAGGAAGAGTTATTTCCTGTGTCAGCAGAACAAGTTTTACTCCCCAGCTGTACAGATGATGGGAAAGAGAACGAGCTAGATAAGGAGGGTCAGGGAGAAGCCAAAACAGAGGTGCATAAGGAGGCCAATTTGGGAGTAGATGGGGAAACAGTCTCGCAAGTTGCTGATATGGAATGTGAGAACCAAAGAGATAAAGAGAAAGGAGCTTCCGGAGATGCTTGTTCTTGCAGGCACACACAGAGACTGGGACAGCTGGAACCACGACTGACTGAGCAATGCAGAGAGAGGGGTCACACTGCCCCACCCTTGGAGGGATGGCCCTGAAGGCTTCATAAACCCAGTGTAAGTTGAACTTGGTTAGAACGAGAGGACAACTTTCTAGCCTGTGCGACTGCACTTGTAATACTGTTTAGAATAAAGAAATCTGTGGTATCAACTGGAGTGATTGCTTTCGTTGGGAAGGCTCGCCAGCCTCATGACAGTTAAAAAAGGCTGGCTTAAGGGAGTCCCTTAATGTCTTGCCCTCATCTGGTCAACCCTGTTGAGAACAAGAGAGCCAGAAGGAAAAGAGCCAGGATGTCTCTAGACCCAGCAAAGCACATGTGTGGGTCTGGACAGGACTGTGGAGATACAGCCTCCACCCCGGCCCCTGCTATGCCACACCGTCTCTATCCAGCTGAGGTTCTGTGGTGAGCAGCCCTCTCCCTCCCTCTTCCTTTCTTCAGCAGCCTCAAATGAACCTTTAGAAGCACCGTTCTTTCATTAAAGCTTAACACGTTCAAAAACAGCATACAGCAAAGCAGTGTCCACTTGGAGATGTGGGAGAAGAATCTGCCCATGTAAAGAGCTGAATCCAAACTGAAGCTTCCCCTTCTTCTGTCCCTTCCAGTAAAGCTTCTGAATGCACCTCAGTGGCTCTTGCTGTTTGATGGCCAGATGGTGGGAATGGTGAACGCTTCTTAACTGGTTGCTCGCTTGGTCTGTTGTCTTGTGATTGGGTCAAGGAACTCCTTCTCCATCACCTCCCCCACCCCAGCTCTGAAATGCCTCTGTCTTTTTTCCCCACACTCTGCCTGGGAATCTTCATTAGGTAACCCTAACACTGCCGAGTCACCTGCCCACCTTTCCTCTTCTGCCTCCTCCTCATAACTGGAGGAGTCTATCTGAGCAGACCATAATGTACAAGAGCTGGGTTGTTTCTGCTCTTCCGCTTGGGCTTTGGTCAGTACTGCCCCATTTCTCATCTGCACCTCTTCTAGTTCTAGTCCAGTGCCAACTCATCCACTTCTTCTTGATGTTGTCTGCCATGTAGGACACCTCCCCGTGTCCTACATTCCCGATCCTGATTTTTTTTTTTTTACGAAGGGTATGAGGAATGGATGTGACTCTGTGCCTCACGTGCCGTTTCAGTGGACTGTCCTGCCACGCTTTATTTTTGCAGCTCTCCCTGCCCGCGGCATGCAAGAGCAACCCGCCCCCCCCCCCCCCCCCCCCCACACACATTCCAGGCTTTACCTCTCTGCATCCAGGAACATCAGCCTAGCCACGTCATAGCAGGGCCGGGCCTCCAGCACTGTGCAGTTTGCATAGGCCTCCCTGCAAAAATGCAATACGAAACAAAAACAAAACAGTAACAGAGACTCCTTAGAATTTGGCAGGATAAGCAAAACCTCTAGCACTCTGGCCGAGATCCTAACCAAAGAACAAGGTAGAAGCTGCCCCCTTGGTCCTGGAATGGGAGGCATCTTCTACTCTTACACCTGGAGTACATTTCCTTCTAGCCATGGAAGCTCCAAAGAGGCAGGGAGAAGGAAAACTGAAAAGGTGATGGACAAATGCTCCTCACTTTTGCTAATATTCAGGCCAGCAATGATTAGGGTGGTGCGTCTTTGCATAAGACATTCCTTTATTGTAGGGAAGAGAAACTGTGGCCCTTCAGATGTTGCCGGGCTACAACTCAGGCCATCTCTGGCCACTAGCCACCCTGGAATCCCAACTGCAACTGGAATCCTGACAACACTGGGGAGGGGCACATGTTCCCCAGCCTCGTTTTATTGAACTGGGCCACAGAATTCTCCACAGAAAAGATTTGCCAGAGGAGGATGGCACGAAAGTCTCTAGACGGTGTAACTCACTCAAAATGCTTCTTGATCTTTTCAGGTTCAGCATACTTTGAAATACCATTGATGAAGAGAGTTCGCTTCACCTGGAAAAGAGAAGACAACTTAAAATCGAATGGGCAAAAGCATCACAGCAGTTAGAAGGTATGGTATTATGTTCCAAAGACCAACATTTCTGAAGCCAGTCGAGAGACACCATAGATGCAGAAGGTGGCATGGAGAGCTTTGCATTCATAGGACTGGGCCACAGAATGTGGGCAGTGCCCCTGTCCTGGCGCATGCCATCCAAGGGTGGTTTAAGATCTGTCCCTGCTTGCTCCAGCCTTCATCCCAACTGGGCAGAGTGAAGTACGGGGAAGCAGGAGCTATCGGATGGAGAGGAAGCAGGTGGCCGGCAAGCCTAGGTGGGCGCTGGCTTGCACTCACCAAGTCGTCCTCCTTGTAGCGCATCTTGGAGGTGTGGCGGCGCATGCTGTACACAGTCAGCAACAGGTACAAGAAGGCGAACGATGTGTGCAGCCACAAGAGGTTATTCCTGTCACAAAGAAAAGGGTAACACCTCAGCCTGACTTCTGCCGAGGGTCAGGTTGCAGGCAGGTGCCAGCCCCTTTGGCCCAGTGCCAATCCATGGGCCTCCCACACAATCCTTTTCTCCATAATAGGAATAATCCCTTTGTTTTGTCAGCACAATCTCTCCATGGCACCCAGTATTGTACTCACCCCGAATTCAAGTTCGCAATAGTGGTTCTGCCAAAACTGTAGGGGTTGTTCTCTGTCAAGAAACAGATGGAGAAATATGAACAGATGCAATCCAATGATTTATTGGGGTGTGTGTGTGTTGTATTCTTCTCTAATCACAGAGATTTAATTGTCTGCAATAAAAAATGAATGCGGAGGTAAAGCCGGAGAAATCTTTTATTATGGCATACTTGGGAATTCTCCATGCTGTCCCCCCAGGGCTTCGACTTTCTTCATTCAGTGACTTGACAATTTCATCTGCATTATCTCATGGTTATTCAGCCAAGGATCAACACCAAGACGAACTTCAGTGCTATTCCTGAAGGCATCAGGACACTGGCAGAAAATGACCAAAATACGTCCTGCCCAAAATACCCCTGTAGGAGCGAGCGTTCCCTGGCACAGCCCAGCGGCTGCTGCACACAAGGCGCCTCTTGTTCAAGATGGTGGTGGACTAGTGGTCTGTCTGTCTGTCTGTCTGTCTGTCTGCCTTGCTAGAAGAGGGGGAGGGAGGGGCCAGAGGGCAGTGCAGAAGCTTCTGACATCTCCCTCACACCAACCCCTGGGCTCTGAGCATCACACTCCAGTTCTGAGAAAAATTAAAACCTCAAATAAGGATAACCAGAGGAAGAGAAACTCCTGACAAATTTATTGAAATGTGCTTTCCTTTAATAGCACATGTTAGTAAAGACTGTGGGAGAGAAGGTGCTCCTTATGTTCAGCCGTTGCGTTGTGTCTGACTAAAAGTGATCCTAAGGACCAAATCTCACCACGCTTTTCAATCCAGTGCCACCTCTTTCAGCTGAACTATGCTCTGGTCTCCTAATACACCACATAAATTCTGGGAAGACATTTTTTGAACTTGATTATCTGTGGTATCTTCTGCACCATACGATTTGCAATAAAATTATTTTAAAAAAGGAAACACAAAGAAACAAAGGAAGTGAGAAAAACGAACAAGAAACTCAAGGGACTCTTGAAGCATGAGGCAAGAGTGCAAAACCCAAATGGTATGTTCCTTAAACTCCATTAATAAATGGTTCTGTTTTGAATACCCGCCCCCCCCCCATTCAGCTGAACCTATACAGAGGTATGTCCCGTGGCTACAGGTGCATGCGAGGAACAAGGGGCTAGGAGAAGCTGGGTGAATCTTTTAAAACTCTGATGCTGGAAAGTGAGGCCTGCACCAAAAGGTTGCTGTGCAGAGTTCTCCTTTTCAGGATTCCAGCCAGCCATGCCCCCTTCCAGGTGCTCTATTCTCTTCCTCACCACTCCATTTCCTGTCCCACCCTGTAACCATCAGTCACAATCTGAGCCCACTGAGCATGCTCAGTCCTCATTAGACTACTTTTTTAAATGTGATCCCAAAGCCTGCTGATACGGTGACCTCATGCAAAATTGTGCCATGTGGGCTACATAAAAAAGGCACAAGGAGAATTAAGATTGCTATTAGCATATAGCAAGGTGGGGAACCTGCAGCCCTCCAGATATTATTGGACAGCTCTTTTCATTCTTGACCACTGATCATGCTGGTTGGGACTGAAGTGAGATAGTCCAATAACATCTGGAAGGTTCACAAATTCACCACTGCAGTATATAGGAATTCTTTTCCCACTCACCACTTTGCTTTGACTCAACACTCATGAACTGCTCAGCTGTGCAGTGGCAAGCTATTTAATAGAGGAAGCTGTGCCAGCTGGATGGCGTGGAGCTGGAAGGTTGGGGAATGCTGGAACAGCTTATATTCTCTTTGGCCGCCTCAGTCAGCACCAGGATGGGTAGTTTTCAGCCCGGAGTGTGCTTGTCTCATTCTCCTCCAGCAGAATTAGGAAGGAGATGCAACCCACTTACCTAGCAAGTCCCCTGAGAAGTTCACTGGCAGCACGATGCCCACGGAGAGGACGCCCACGGCCACCAGCAGGCCAATGATGTGCCGCTGGAAGGAGAGATAATGGACTGCATCGGCCCCACACTTGTCACGGATCTCATCGTCCCTGGAGAGGAACAGAAAGTGGTGAGGCTCTGGCTCGCAAGAGGAAACTTTGGATCAGCGGTGAATTGCACCCAAACGTCAGAGCTGCCCTGAATAATAGGAGCTCCCTTTGTTGATTCCCATCCTCTTCAGAACAGGCAACTAGCCCCTCATTTTGTAACCAATCCCCAAATACAGCCTCTCTCAATGGGTCGGATGGGGTAGAAAATGTGCCATCAGATTGACTCCCCTGCTGGGTGACAGGGCAAATCCCACAGCAGCAGCTATGGAGATGGAGCAGGAGAGTAAAGCTGATCCCAGCTGAAAATGTTGTGCAGTATCATGATTACATCACACAGCCTTGAAAATTAAAACAAGTTCTAGAGCTTGGCCCTGGCCCTTAGCACTTGCTCTAAGTATTAAGATTTTCCTCTGTGGGAAAGAGTTGAGGCTGTTGAATAATTAGGACTGTGAGACATTTAATCTATTTTAATGTAACTATTTCTGTTAGCATAGGTGAATGCCTGAGTTACAGACTTTTTCTACTGAAGAAACCTTCTGTGGAGGGATTTTGGCTGACAGCCTCTGTGGAACTCCCAAGTTTGTTTATCTGTGCATCAGCAGAAGGTAATTATATTACCTAAATATTTTGCTCCCTGGGAAGAAACAGCTGTCTGCAAAGCTAGGCATACATGCCCAGAAGTATGACTAGGATGCGCCATGACAGTATCGTCTAAGAAATTGGTTTAAAGCTTCTGCAAGCCAAGCAAGACACCTGCATTGTAATGCTTGTGCTTTAGCCAACATGCAAAGCAGTTCAGCCTTCCCCAAGCTGGTGCCCTCCAAATGTTTTGGACTACAACTCCTAGCACTCCTTAGTATCGACCATGCTGGCTGGCCGGCCCTGCTGGGCACTGAGTAGGGGAGGGATGCTTTAAACAGTTTTCACCTCCACTCTTCTTACAAACTGAGCATCAATTTGACAGACTTAATTGTGATTCTTCATTATTTGGTTATTGATGAGTGAATAAAATGCTAAAGCCCTAATCCATTTTTTGGTCTCCATGTATAGGCACTGGGAATTGGCATCCTAAATCAGATTCTTCTTTGTTTTCAGATGTCACCGGGGATGCTCAAACTCATTAGACTCTATCATAGCTCCTCTGTGCTATTCATCTGAATGCAGGACATTTTCGCTTCGGCACAGAATTATTGCTCCATTTTCCAGCTGCTTCGGCTGTTTTCCGCTTTTGGTTCCATATGCCTGAACTTCTCCTGTCTTTGGAAAGAGCTTGCTCAACAGAGTTTGAAAAGTATGGATGCACCTCTCTGGGAGTAGCTTTAAGCAATTGTATGTGCCAAAGTATGGGAAAAACAGTACAAAAATCATGAGTCTTATGAGTTTGTACAGATGAAGGAGAAACTGAGAATAACCTCTACATGCATTTTCATCTCAAACAATAGAGGGACCATCTCTTGGATGGGAATCTCTACTTCAGCATTCCCCAGCTGCAGAGTGTCAGGCTGGGGAAGGCTGTTTTTGGCTGAAATGCAACAATAATAGTAACACTGTCAGACATCTGTCACCCCTTTACCGTCTTGCTGCTGGTGGGAACTAAGTGCTAGAATTGAGGATGGTTTGCATAATGATACAATAACTTACTTTATCCTGAAGATTGCGGTCAACCAGGAGCAGAAGCCCTGTTCAGAGGCAAAGCAAGCCCAAGTTAATCAGAGTCCACAACCCAACAACAAACCAGGGGTTCTCTTCCTGGTTTATGGTCAGCAACCCACAGTTAAACCACAGTGCATGGTTTACACACAACAACGTTACAGAACTTATGACTCAACAACAACACATAATTTAATGACAATCCTTGTGCAACTCACACTCTCGGTTGTCATTACATGTGAACCAGGCCAGTATTTCTGTGACACTGAGAAGCAAAGGGTGGTGCCACAATACGTCCCCTGGTGTTAGTCCCCTGCATCTGAGATCCAAAGCTATACCACCTGAGAAGTCCCGTTTTGGTATTGTGGCTTCCACCCCAGAGGGAACAGGTAGGAGCCTAAGGGAAGGTGGCTCCTAAGGGAAGCTGTGGTGGGAATGCTTTGGTAGAGTGGATGGGATTGAAGGAGGGGACTCATCCCTGGACCCTGGAGGTGCTGAACGCCTCCTTGAGAGGGGGAGTGGTCCCTGCCCCTCTAAAGATGGCGGTGATTTACATCACTTCTCAAAAATCCACATCTGGATTCAGAGGATGTAAATAATGATCAACCTATAGCCAATATTTCCTTCCTTGGCAAGGTGCTCGAGCGAGTTTGGCCGGGCAGCTCCAACCTCTCTTGGGGGAAACAGATTATCTAGATCTATTTCAATCGGGCTTTAGGCCAGGGTTTGGAATGGAAACTGCCCTGCTTGCCCTGTGGGATAACCTTTGCCAGGAAAGACACAGGGGGAGTGTGACCCTGTTGATGCTCCTGCACCTCTCAGTGGCTTTCAATACCATCAACCGTGGTCTCCTTCTGGAGAGGTTTGCAAGATTGGGAGTTGGGAGCACTGCTTTGCAGTGGCTCTGCTTCTACCTAGCTGACTGTCTGCAGTTGATGGAGCTGGGGACCGAGGGAGCATGGATTCTTTGTACCATGGCAAGCGTGTCATGGAGTCCCAAGGGTGTCTATTCTGTCCCCCATGCTACATGATATTGCTGGGACGGGTCACCTGGAGGTTTGGGCTGAAGGGTCACCAGCATGCGGATGACACTCAGCTTTACCTCTTGTTTTCATCCAATCCAGGTGAGGCAGTGACCGTTCTGAACTGGTGCCTTGGCTCAGTAATGGACTGGATGAGGGCCAATAAGTTGAAACTCAGCCCAGACAAGATGGAAGTACTGCTGTTGGGCAGCCCATTCATCCAACTGGGAAACTGCCAACCTATCCTGGATGGGGCTGCACTCCCCCTAAAGGATAAGGTTTGTATCTTGGTGGGGTGGGGGGGGCGGTTCCTGGACCCTGAGCTCTCACTTGTTTTGCAGGCTGCCTCAGTGACCAGGAGCTCCTTCTCTCAGCTTAGGCTGATTTTCCAGCTACATTCCTACGTGGATGAGCAGAGCCTGGCACAGTGACCCATGCGCTGGTAACCTCGCGCCTGGATTCCTGTAAGGCACTCTACATGGGGCTGCCTTTGAAGATGGTCCGGGCACTTAAACTAATTCAAAACAGAGCAGTGCAGTTATTAACAAGGATCAGCCTAGAAAACATATGTCAGTCCTCCGCCAACTGCACAGGCCCAATTCAAAGTGCTTACGCTAACATACAAAGCCTTAAATGGCTTGGAACTGGGGCATCTAAAGGAACGCCTGTCTCTGTATATCCCTACCAGACCACTCAGATCGTCAACAGAGGCCTCCACCATGTTCATGAGGGGGAATTAGCTAGGAAAAGGCCCTTCTCTGTTACGGCACCTCATCTTTGGAATTCTCTTCTGAAAGAGATGCGACTGGCACCCTCATTATTTTGTTTTCATCCCCAAGTGAAGGCCTTTGTATTTACTATTTGTTTTTACAAACATGCTTTTATTTGGTTTTTGCTGCTGGTTTTATTGTTGCTTATATTATTGCTTATGCTCCTGTTTTTGCACTTTATATTAGCATGATTTTATTATTTACATCTTTATTTCTTTAAAGTTTTTATATGCTGTCCAATACCAGAGTTTCTGGACGGCTGACAACCCGCCCCCGACCCCAAACCAACAAACAACACACTGCATCCAACCATTAGTGATAAAATCAAAGATAAAGCCAATTAAATATTAAAATGGTGGGAAAATAAAAAGGTTTTCACCTGATGCTGAAAAAAATAAAGCAATGGTGCTAGGTGAACCTCCCTGGGGAGCATGTTCCAAAGTTTTATGTGGGTTTTAGCTGGTATTGTATTATTTATTATTTTTATGCTACGTTGTTGTGCTATGTATGCTATGCTAGGGAGTGCTTCAGCTATGGGGCAGTATACAACTGCAATAAATACATAAATAAAATGGGATATCACTCCTCAGCTGATTTTTGGAGGCACTGGCCTCCCTCCTCGGAAAGCAGATAACATTCCTTTAGAGAGTTAGATGTGGGGCTGGGCTCTGTTTTGGGTTCTTGCCTCTTTTGGTTTAATGTTGTCAGTCGCCTTCTGCCTTTTCCCAACTGCTCCGGGTGTTTTAATAAACATGTTGTCAATTGGTTGTTTTTGACCGGCTCATTTTTCATCATGTTGTGAGCTGGCTTGACATGCAGAAAGGAAGGACATACATGTTCTCTAAGGAAAGAGCAAGAGGTGTTTCTAGCTACGCGACTGCACTGCCCTGAGTCATCCTGAGCTTGGTTCATTGCCGTGCCTTCACTCCCCAGCCTACAAGAAGGGACTTCACGCATCACTGCTAGGAAAACCTGGGATGCTTTTTGGCTGCCACTCACGTTATCTCTTTGGTCAAAGTCCACGGAGCTGGAGACGGAAGTGAGGCGCTCATAACGATCATGGCTGTCAGAATGTAGGGCAGATGCCACACTGGAATTACAGAGGCGGCAGTTAATCAGATGCTTAGAAGAGCAGGCAGGACTGAGAGTAGTTAACACAAGTCAGTTTGCCTCAGGCGAGATGGAGAGGAAGCTTCCGCAGAAAAGAGACCGAAGATAAAAGGTGTGAGAGAAAAGCCCTGAACAGAGACTGCCCCTCTCTTTCACTTCACTCTGATCCAGTGCTAGTGCAAACCTATAAAATATAGAGCCCATCAAAGCAGAGAAGGCTTGGGCTTCAAAGTGGACCCACCCTGATGCTTGCTAAAGTCATGGGGCTCTGCTTGTTGAGAAAACAAGCAACATTCTGCAACCCACAGTGGAATTCTGCAACCTGCATAGATTTCACAATTTGCATACAACTATGGAACTTTTCTTATTTTGTATAATTTATTTTGCAATTTTTGGCTTTTTGCCAATATTTATTTTGCTTTTTTTTTGTCATGGCATGAGGGGCAAAGAGGCGTGGAAGTACAGAACAGGGAGTCCTCAACTACTGGAATTTCATACAACACCTCTGAGTTCAGCAGGCATTGTCCATGCGCTTTTCAAGCAAAGCTTAGGAGCCATATGGGCTAGAAACTTTTAAAATTAAAGTGTTCTGAGGAAGCTACTATATGTGTCCAATGCTGCATTTTACACATTCCACTCCTGCAAAATTGTGGCATAGACATTACCCTGCTTATGAATTACAATCCTTTACATGCAGATTAGTTGTGTAGCAATTGCCCAGCTGAATAGCACATTTTATACATGTCAGAATATGGCCATTTTCAAGGGAAAAGGCAGTAGTTCCTAGCAGCCTTACAAAAGTTACCACCTTTTGGCCTGATGTACCATATGTATTTGCTGTGAACGATAAGAGAGACAAAACTTGCAAATAAGAACTTTAGCTCAGTAAGAACGACTGAAAGAAAGATCAATTCTAATTTTAGAACATGTGTGCCTAGAAGAAAGAGAGGGGCTTTCATTCTCTAGGTTGCTCAGACACTACCAGGCCTCATTAGCAATGCCATGAGAAGTCTGGCATTGCCAGTGGGCTCCATGCATTAGACAAAAGTACCCACGGGTGTCCACCACCTATTCCACAACCAAATGAGAGCAAGGAGACACAAGGAGAAAAGTTGAGAAAAGAGAAGTCTGCCTCAAAAGGAGAGGAATAAACAAGAGGATGTAGATTAACAACAGGTCAGCTGTGAGGGCCTGCAGTTTCCTTCTGGTGACACAACGGCAGGCAAGCTTCCTGGGAAATTATTTGAAGGCAATACACAGACACAGAGCCCCAAGAAATAAAAAGCTCTCCCCACATGTCACACACATACACAAATACAAGGGAGAGACATTCAGCCTAAGGAATTCCATGCTGTAGATGGTGGATAGTGCCCAGTTAATGTGACTTAGGAAAATGAAATTGTTAGTGCAAGGAGATGTATGAAGTTGAAGTTTAAACATAACTTTCTATTAACTATGAGGCTATGAGGGTTTGGCCAAAATACCTACAGACAGTGGTTAGTTCATATCTATTGGAATGTATGACTTGGAGATTCAGCTTGCACATCTTTTCTAGATGCTGCAGCAAGGAAGCATTGACTTAAATCATTGTGTGCACAAAGCTGTCTTCTTACATCAGCAGCATCCAGTAAAAGTGAAATGATTTCTACCCTCTTGATTCATGATTCTTACTGCAATTAGCCTCTGCTTCCACATGACTGATGTTTCCTGTCAGTGACAAGGATTACTTTTTTTAAAATTACAAAGGTGAAATCCTCCAGATTCAGTGCTGGATTCTAGATGCCACCTAAAGAACCAGTAAAAGAGGAACGGCATGATTTGCAAAGTACAACAGGAATCCTGCATCCACGCGGATCTGTTTCAAGCCCCCAGCAGATGCCTGAAACCACAGATGAGAGCAAGCACTGTACAATACACTCTGTAATAACAAGCGGGTGCCTGCAGGGGGCAGAGGCGGCGGGCAGGCACCTGGGGGTGGCAAGAGGGGAGCCACAAAATCCATTCAAATGATATACTCAGACTAAAATAAACTATATATATTTCTTTTTTCTCAATTGTGTTCATTCTTCCCTCAGGACTTTATAACTTCTCTTTGGCACTTTAGGACTTCTCTTTTGGGCTGAGGTCAATTGCGGTTAACTGAAAGCATGGTCACTGAGCCAGCAGATCCTGGGGCCCGACTGTACTTAGAAAGGGAAACTTTACAGGGGGGCTTTCTGAAGGGCTTCTCCAGGGAAACCCCAGCAGGCCAAGATAATTTTCTTGAGCAGAAGCGGGTCACTTCTGGCCCATCAGATGTGTTAGCCTAAAACCCCCACTGTTGTCAGCCAACAGAGCAAATGCTGAGCAAGGATGGCCAGGTGGTCAGGATAGCCGGAGCTAGAGAAGTTGCCCAGCCCTGCTCTTGGTGGTCATGCAGCAGGCAAAAGACCAAGCTGGTACCAAAACAGGAAGCACAGCCTGTTTGTTACTTTGCAGCACAGGGGGACCTGGGGGGAAAAAGATACTGCCCTTTCTGTGCAACAAGCCACTGTTGGTTGACCCTTAAGAGTACTGCAGGATCTTTAGGGACGTGTAAGGAATCTGGTTTGGGGGTGGGAATATGGCAGATTTCTCCAGCCCAGCTCCCAGATTCTAGGCTGTTTTTTTCAATCCCCTAAGTCTGCCTCATGTCGAACAAACATGTGGGCATCTGGCAGGAAGTGAATTCAAGCAGAATTCTGCTTCTGCATACGCGATTTGCGGACTTCGGGAGGAAGGCCCTGCATAAACCAGAATGGGTAGTGCAGATGTGGCTAGAGCTACCCCTCTCCTTTGAACACTCCAGTGCCTTCATCTTCGATGATGAAATGAGCTCCAAAATGTCATTAACTCTTCCTAACAAGCGAAGAGCAAATATGACAAGAACACTTGCTGTAAGTAATGGATTCCCATCTGTCTGTGTCACAGCCTCTCAAACGGGATTTCAGGTTTCAGCCAGGTTGTGATTTCTGCTTCATAACGCTGAAGCTGGATTAATTCAGGCCTTTAGGGATTCTTGCTTTAGGGAAGGGGAAGGAGCCACAGAACTGGCAACTGGAGCGAGGGAGAGGGGTTTCCCCTCAATTATTTGTGACTCTGAAGAGCTAGTGCAGCCTAAGTGCATGTGAAAACTGCAAACTTAAAATGCCTTCTGACAGGAAAACACTGGCAACCTCGGGAGCCTAAGATGCAAGGAGCGAGCCCAGGTGTGGCCAGCCTGCGGCACAGGGAGAAATCTGGTGGCAGCAACGGAAGCATGGCGGCAGCGCAGAGTCCATCCTACAGTGCTTCCTGCAACTTCGCTCTGAAGAAGAGCAGCAATATGCCATTAAGCCCTAAATGGGGCTGCATCTGCATTAGAGCGTGGATTCTTGCAGCACGCTTTCCAGGAAGACTGGCCATCACTGAGCCAGGGAAGCAAAAGGCCTGATTAATTTCATGCCCTGGACACTGATCAGGATGGGCAGCGTACAGCCTTCCCTTGCTAACCCTCGGAATGCTCATTCTGAGGAAGAATCCCTTGGCTACACCTTTGCGCATACTTCCGCTAAGCAAGTCTTAGAGAAAAAGGGTGGACAAAGAAAGAGAGGGATGACCACAAGGGCCCCCCAGGGGGTAGTCTGTTGCCAGGCGGATTTCCGCAAACTGGCAGGTTTTGGGTGCTTTGTGATGTAAGAAGTGGCAATGTAGGTGTGGATTGCAATGGGACTGTACAGTTCCCAGACCTGGCTAAGTTGGGGTGAGCACCTAGTTGGTGAAGCATGATCAGAAACAGCGGACACTTCATGGTCTCTGGGAGGAAACCTTTCGCCCAATCTGGCCAGGGGAAGGAAACAGACTTTTGCTGTATGGCTCACTCACTGTGCAGCATCTTAAGGTGTTCATGACTGAGTCTGTCTTTTTCCACTGCATGCCATTTCCCTTGTCCTCTCTGGCACGCATTCGATCAAATTCATAAACAGGGTGTAAAAGGAGGCATGGAAGGGCTGCAAGGGCCAGAAGGACAGGAATGGCAAAGAGCTGCACATGCAGAGACCGTTCAGGTAAGCAAAGGCTTCTGTGTGGTGACGCTTCTGGGGTGAGGCAGGCGGTGCTATGGAGGGAAACGTGTTCCGTGCTGACACCACTGGCACTGCCCAAGCCTAACAGCCACTTGGTTTTATTTATTCACTATTGCATTTACATCCCACCTTCAAGGAGCACATGGTGGCTCCTCCTCTCCATCTATCCTCACAAGAACCCTGTGAGGTAGGCTAAGCTGACAGCCAGTGATGACACCAGGGCACATGGTCAGCTTCCTGGCTGATGGAGGACCACAACCCAGGGCTCCGGGGTCTCTGCTGGCTCAGCACCGCAACCTGCTTTTCCAGTTCTGGGTCTCAGTTCTGGAATATGTGCAGTTACAGGCAATGAAGAACCTCTCATTTCTCACCAGCGAAACAGAACCAGGTCCAATGTGCCTGGAACTGGAGGCATGGCTGGGGGGTGGCTCACTGCCAGGGAGCCCTTGGCTTTGCTGCTCCCCCCCACTTTCTGCTCCCGTCCTCGGCTAGCTCATCCCCATGCGGGGCCCAGAGAAGTCTTCACTGGGAGAAGGAACGGCACTGGCTGGAGTGCCCTCTCCTGTTCCCAGCTAGGGCTGGACCTGGGGCCACAGTTCAGTGGGCCATGGCCAAGCCCTTTCACCACGGCTTCCCAGAGGTGGCAGATGATCAGGGCACCAGAAGCAAACTCTGTTTTATTCCTGTGGACATGATGATGCTGCGAATGGAAAGAACTCAAATGGTGGCCAGGGCAGGGCAGGGCAGGGCAGGGCAGGGCAGGGCAGGGGAAAAAGAGAAATCCTTGTCGCACGCTTTACAACTGAAGTCCTCTCACATGGCCATCTCAAGGGAGCTCCCATAAGGCCATGAAGCCCAGGACCTTCGACTACCTCACTGCACTTCTGTCTCTACCTGCAAATGAGTTGCTGGTCTAATGGTGGTGGAGAAGAGATGCCTGCCCTAAGCCAAGGCTAACTTCCAGGCAGCTTCTCTGTCCAGATGCTAGCCAGAAGCAGCACCACTCAGATTCCCCACATCCAAAGACATTTTGTGCCCATGGTGGGAAACCCAAACTTTTGCCTCCTGTGGTAAAACCAATTAACTGTCTCTTTGGTTCTGTATAGCAGCAACTTCATTCTACCTCCTGGGAGGGCTGGACCCCTCAAATCTCAGCTTGCACCAAATCAGAAAATAAATCTTTGAGGCGTGGGGTGTAAGTGATAGAGAACCATTACCAGTTCCATGGCCTGTGTGGCCAGGAACAGGTTCCTTAATATTAAGTGCCCTCGAGGGAAGACAGTCCCAAGAGCTTAGTTCATCAGTTTTCCGACTCCTGTATGAGGCAGCAGAGCGGGCAGAGAAGATTTCAAACAAAGAGAACAATTTATCTGGTGAAAGAGACAGCAGAATGTCTCAGTAGAAGTCTGGTCTCTTTTACTTCCGGCAGACCAAGCTGTCAGAAGTCGAAGAAATCTCGGGGCTTCCCTGTACCCACAAAGGCCTATTTAGCAATGCTGCTTTCTCTCTGGAAGAGGGAAGGCAGGATCTCTTTTCTGTACAACCTTGAGCAGAGACATGTAGCCACTGGGGGCTTTCCCGAAAGGTTAGGGCAGTTTTTAACAACTGAGAACAAAAGGGCATCATGTGCAAGAACAGAATGCAAGATGGAATAAGATAGGACTGGGCAGACTTCAGGTTTCTAGGTGCAACTCTGCTCTGTTTTTCCTCGAACCTGGAGAGCCACCAACTGGGGCAGGTGCAAAAGCTTCATGCTACTGAAGAGTGTTGAGGCCAGGAATGTGTCCTGAGTCACGGAGCTGAACAGCGCTCACAGTTCTTCCACAGAAACGCCTCCCTGCAACTCCTGGTTATTCCAAGCTGTCTTCATTTCAGCAACATGATTTAGGATGGGATGGATATCACTCAGTTGCTGTTAGTGTTAAACAATGAGGAATCAGAAATCCTTGCCAAAGATCTCCCCCTGCATTCTGATCTGCCTTCTGCCCACACCTGGTGTGAAAGATTCTGCTTTCCCTCTCTGCCAGGCAGGGGTGAATTGCTCTCAACACAAGCACACCTTCTTCTCACACCCGGTGATTCATTAAGACTGTGTAGTTTATGAATATTTCACTATCATTAAGCACTGCTGCCAGAATTTGCTTGATTTACTGTTCCTTCCCCTTTTTCTTTTGTATTGAGTCTATTAGATGGTAGCTCCTCCTCCTCCTCCTCCTAATTGTGTACAGCATCTAGAAAACATTTGGTACAACAAACAATTCTTCTGCAACCACCACTGGCCAGCCTTCTTCTGGAAACGAGCAGTTCTGTGCATTTCTGAGCGCTCCGTAAACCCCTACCGTGCGCCTACAATAAAGAGTCTTTTTAAAATATAAAATTCCTTGCTGGTGTCGCTGGCCTCTTTCACGGTCAGACCATGAACAAGAGGGACACACAGCAAACCTGCCAGCTGCCCCCCATGTGCCACTCTTTCGGCTGGCTTGCACCAGCAGGGTCAGGTGCATGACAGGAGGGGAGCCACTCAGTGTTCCATACCATGATGCTGGGTAGGATTTTAAAATTCATATTTTTTTAAAAAAATATCATGGACTATGCTACTCATGCTCTTTAGTACAAAGCTCCCATTTGGGATACGTGCAAAAGGCATTATGTAAGAAAGTAAGTCAACCCAGTTGGATTAAACTGAAGGCATGTCTAACTGACCTCCCTTTTAACAGTGGCTAACTGGATGCCTGTGAGCCTTGCAGGGCAGGGGTGCTAGCAGCCTTCTAGTCCTCCTGGTGCCTGGCAAATAGTAGGTCTACTGCCTCTGGTCCTGGAGGCAATGTCTAGCCATCACGACTGCCGGTCCTTGGCCGGCTTCTTCCTATTACCTGGGGAAGTTGTGGGCTCTCCCTTGCTGGAGACATTCAAGAAGCGTCTGGACAGTCATCTGTATGGGATGGCATAACTCAGTGTCCTCAACAGCAGGAGGTTGGCCCCAGTGGCCTTCTGGCCCCTTCTAACTCTACTATTCTAGGATTCTCCAGGAATGTTTCCAATCCACTTTCCAGCCATCAGAACTGGTGCCCATCCATCAGGCTTGACTCGAGGCTGTCTCGCCACATGGAACCAAACTCGGGCCACCATGCAACACCACCTGCCTTCCTCCTTGCCCGCCTCCTTCCTGGCTTTTGTCTCTGCCTGTGCCCCATCTCCAGCTCCTCTGCCCTTGTGAGAACACAACACAGGCAAGAGCTTGTGAGAGACCTGGAACCCTGCAGCAAAGAGGGCTCGGGGCTGCTCCAAACACTCCTGCTGGCTGCCTTCTTAGTGTGGCAAATGTTACAGTGCAAAAGTGGCTGGCAGGGCTCCCTAGAGCATCCATGGGAAGTGGCAGTGGCTGCCTGGGCTGAGGGGAGCAGCACAATCTGCCGTTCTTCCAGCTCCCCCACCTCATTCTGATGCCTCACCATGTTTCCTTTGCGATCAAGAAAGACTGAGGTAGTGAATTCCATAATCTAACCATGCACTGCATATGGGTTACTTCCTTTGGTCCATTCCAAATGTCCTACCATCTATAAGAGGGATCAAAGGATGGACATCCCTTGAGATCATGCCAGAACTATACACCATAGTTCTATGGTTATGACAAACAAGCCAGACCAAAGTGACTTATCAAACCTAGAGGAAAGAAGATTGAACTAAGGACCTGAACAAATGGAATCCAACTCAAGAATCCTGTGTTGGATCTTTCCCAGCCACAAACTTCCATCAGATTTGTGCCGATGGATGAAGTTCAAACAGGTGCACTGTGTGACAATATTTCCCAGTATCTTAACTTTCCTAGTACCTTGTTAACTTTTCCCCATTGTCACCTTTGTATAGCACGAAGGGCACAAGACACAAGTGTGCAGTTATCAAAGTGGACACAAATCAAAGCCCTGCTCTCCCAGGTGAAGATTAGTCCAGAAGCAAAAGGAGAGAACTGTAAAGGAAGCAGTAGAGAATTGAGAGAAGAGGGAAGCACCCTGAAAAAGCCACAACGTACTATTCCCGTTCCTCTTGCTCCTGCTGCCAGCGCCGCTTCCTGGGGATAGAAGAAAAATAATGGAAAAAAAGGGAGAGTTAAAAGCAAACCAACAGTTTCAATAAGGGGGAGAGGATTTACCTCTCCCACCAGTTGGTATTTCCCGGGGAGGACGTCTTTCACAAAATCTGACCAGAGGAAGAAAATAAAGCATGGATTCATGGCTTACTGATTGTCATGATCTGTAACGTCCTTTCCTATTTGGAGATGCACCTGCTTACTTGAGTGTCAATTCTACATTCCTATTAGATTTGACTTACAAGTGCTTTCCCATGCAAACTTAAATGTAAAACAAATGTGGCTGCCCTCCCAAGGAAATGAGATTCCATGTATCCATCTTCAACAGAAGCACTCTTCACATCCAACAGTAGCAGATGAAAACCACAACTGCAAAGTGCTGCAGCTGACATTCTGGCATTGCCCCTCTTGGAATGCTGCAAGGCAGAGGGGGCCAGCATGTCTGTTTGCTGTTGCGTATTCATTTGTTATGTGGAATTCCTGTCTGTCTTTCATTTATATTCTAGAAATGTGGATGCCGTTCCATCATCAAAGGTGATCCCCAGGGTGATGTTCATAATATTACAAACCCCCAAAAAACAAACAAACAAGCAAAACTAAATGGAGGAAAAAGAAACGGTCCATAAAAACAAATAAAGTATCAGTCAATCTAAAATCAATATAGATGGAATTAAATGGATGATTTTGCCATTTGAAAATTCTCTTCAAAATGTCTAGGCAAACAGGAATGTGGTACTGAAAAGGATACACAATCAGGGCCAACAATCTGTCTTTCAGGAGGACATCCCACCTCAGAGAAGCCCTCTCCTTTGTAGATGCATAGTGTGTTTTTCCCCCAAATTTATTTATTTATTTACTCACTCACTTTCTTACTTACATATATTTATAGGCCGCCTATAATTGCCGAGGCAGCTTACAATGCATAAAACATACTAACCAAGTAAAAACCAATTAAAACATAATAGGAACACTCTCGATCTAGCACAGGTGTGAGGAACCTATGGCCCTCTAGATGTTTTTGGACTCCAACCCACATCAGCCCCAGCCTGCCTTTCCAAGGGTTAGGGATGATGGAAGCTGTAACTCAACAACATCAGTAGGACAACAGGTTCTGACCTGAAGCTCTGATCAAAAGGCAACAACCTTTCTGAAACTGAAGGAATAGTTCATACCTGAAGGGGAAATGCTCTTGGGAAACACTGTGAACTCAGTGGAGGAAAAGCAGCACATACATTTCATAAACAAACAAAAATAGAGCGGCTGCCATCTTACATTTTCAATATCTATGCTGCACACTCATGTTCTCTGCCTGCAGCTTGCTTGCAGCAGCCAGTGTTACAAAGACAGCAGGGAAAACATACAGACCGGTGCCTTCTTTTGCCTTGGGACCATGCTGGCTGGGGATGATGGAGAGTTGTAGCTCAACACACCTGGAGGGCATCAAGAGCCATAGCTCCATAAGGGGTCGTGGGACAGACACATTTGACTCTACCAGCTCTCCACTACCAAGACGACCACGTCCCTCTTGCACAAAACGTCCAACTTTCCAACCACCATCATCACCACCTTTCTAGCTGAACGTGACATTTGGAACCTTCATTCTGATTTGGCCCACATTTACAAAGCGCCTGTGCTTCAGAAGGGACACACAGGCACTTTCCAAGTAAGGGGAAACTCAAAATCACCAGGCTTCCTATTAAACAGCACAAAGGAGTCCCGCACTCCCACCATTATAATTGACCACCTGGTTCACCCATCATAAATAATCTATAGTTTATTAAACAGGGGCTGTTGATAACAAAATGGGATTCCACCTAGGAGTTTTTATTATACCTAGCAGTGTACAGGCACCATAAATATTCAAGATAAACCAAGGAGGAGCGAGCCCATCCACTCCCACTAGGTGACAATTCAGGGCACTCCGTTTGGGGCTTCTGGACACTCACCCACCCCTGCTCATTTGCAGCTCCCAGGGTTTGTTTTCCTCCTCACAGTTCTGATCCCACAATCTTATGCGGGTACCTGCAATGCCTTTTCAACATTTCCAAAACCAGCCCTGAACCTGAGAGATGAGGTAGGCCAGAAAAAAAAATTGATACTCAGGAATATGAGGGACTGTTGGACAGTGACAGCAGATTCTCTCTGAGGCTCCCCACTCTGCACATCAGTCTCTTCTGTTTGTGTGGCTGATGCACGGAGAGGATGCCTTGGATGATGTGTTGAGAGCAAGGATTTAGGTAATCCAGGCCTACGGACGGACTGCAGTCATGAAGTGATGAGCTAATTGGAGTTGTGCATGGAGGGGTTGGCTTTTGTTTCCGTAAGAGATCTATTTCCATCGGGACATGTGCAAACCGCAGCAGTTACGTCCTACGGATACACGCTCTGCAACTACGGCAGCTCTGTCTGCCTGATCTTTCTGATCTGACAATGCTTCCCTCTCTGAGTTATTTCAGGGGATAGGACCCAGGCCAACAAGTCTGAACTACAAAAAAAAGGTGAGTTAATCTTTAGGAAGAATTTCCTGATGGTAAAAAGCTGCACAAGAATGGAACATGCTACCTCAGAAGGTGGCAAATGTTCAAAGCACAGCTACCAAATGGAGCTACAGATTTTCTGCCCTGGCAAGGAGTTGGACTAGATGAACTCTGAGGTACCCTCCGACTCTCTTTCAAGGAGCAGCTCTGTTCCCCATTGCTGGTTTATCACAACAGAAGTAGAGGCAATGTTACCAACAGCTGCTTTTCTCTCCTTCAGTAGCAGGAGGTTATAATTTGCCATTCTTTCAATCAAACCCTTTTTCTTATACCAACTTTCTGAGTCAAGATTGCCTGCTGCTTCTAAACCATCAGCTCTTGCCAATTTTTATTTCTGTAGACTGAGAATTGCAATGTCTATAAAGGCTGCAGCATCCAAGAGCACAGCATGATGCTTCCAGATTGATTGGAAAGTTAACGTCATCAGTAAAATCAAAGGCCCGTGTTCCTCAGGAAGCTATTTTGCAGGCTAAGAAAGCAGCTCCTGTGACCTTGTATACATTTCTTCTGTGCTTTGTGTACTATCTGCTTGGCAGCCTCTCTCTGTCTCTTTAAGACTTCAGAAGTATGTGATTTCTGAAGAATTATCAGAAGTCCCTCTGACCAGAGTTTTGCTTGCCTGAGGAATGGATGCAGGCCTTCTTGGTGGAAGATGGGTGCACTCTGAGCCCTCATGATTGACCTTTTAATGTTATACCCAAACTGTCCTTTTTCTACAGGCCTGTACCTTTTATTTTCTGCCCTTGCTGCTGACTTTAACTTCTGTGTTGCTATAATAATACTAATCAAGTCTGACAGCTACCACTCAAGACAACTGCTTGCCATTTAACTTTACAAATTTGGAGCAGTTGGAATTTTTGCCACGTTGAGCACTGTTGGTGGAAAGGCAGGACAAAAACAGAGAGTCAAGCCTTCTTTCAAGAGACCCCCCATTCCACATCCATGCACCCAGCTTGATCTGTTTTTTCCCTCTTCAACTGTCGGCCAACATCCCACAGTCGCTGAGGATGCTCAGACTTCACGGCCTATTTTGGGGCTTTCCTCATACACATAGGCTGTCCTTCTGCAGACTGCGAAGTTTCCCCAGGCTGGCCGATTCCTCTCCTCTGTGTGGATGCTGCTGTTTGGGCTCTCAAAGAAGGAGCTCGCTATTAGTATATATCAGGGTGGCCAGACTTGCGTGGTGGAAGAGCCACATCCAGTAAATGTCCAATGTCTGAGAGCTGCAAGTGGGCACCTGTAGGGTGGAGGCAGCGGGAGTCTGTGGGCACCTGCAGCAGTGAGCAGCAAGCCGCAAAATAAGCCCAACGAGCCACACATGGCTCCTGAGCCTCGGTTTGGCCACTCCTGGTATATATGATGATGACGACACCACAAATACTTTTTATAAAGGACTGGCCATAGAACTTTGACCATCACAGACAGAGGTTCAAGTCCACAGCTCCTCCCATACCCCTGAACTGTGATGGAGAATTGTATCCTGTGGTTATTAAGCAATGACCATCCCTCCTCAACAGCTGGATAGCCATCAGTGAAAAGTGAACAGCTGGGTACGGAACGAGGCAGCAGAAGCATTCTGAATAGTTCCTCCAACGGTTCTTTCTGCACCTCACCAGACCAGTCAGATTGGGCGTTCCATTAGGGGACGAACAGTGATGGTGGTGAACTTTGAGGTTCAGGTGGTCATCATGCAAACCTTGTAGCTAAGTCCTCAAGGGGCACCCAAACTTTCAGGTAGCTGCGTCAGTCCATACCAACAAACCAATGCCAGCAGTTCTCATCTCACCAGAAGCAGGTCTTTCATGAGCTTTAACTGGCCATTCAAGAACAAACCACCCTGCGATACTTTATATCACTACAGGGAACAGTAGATGGTTGCTGGAAAATCCTACCACTCGGCTCAGGGAGAAGTATGGAAGGGGGTGGCAGATGAGGAGGGCTTCCCTGCTAGGAAAAAAGCCTGAGCCCCGGGCAGGAGAAGGCAAGCATATTTTATGGCAACAGTGGCTATGTCTCGACTCAGCAATTGGGAGCCAAAGCTTGGAACAACACATTGTCTGTAGCAAAAGGAGTTTTGGATACATGTGTGTATGAAACAGCAACAGACTTTTTCGGAAACCAAGGCTGGGGGGAGTCTGTGAGAGGGCACAAGGGGCTGCTTTAAAAAAAGAGATCCAAACTTTTTACCAAGCACAGCCACGTCCTTGGGTGAAGCTGAAGTGGCCTTCTCAATTCTGGTCACTGATGACTGTCAAAATCCAAAATGGTTCCAGGAACGAGTCTGACCATTGCCCTAGCTGCTATTTGACTCAAGGGGACTTTTCTTCACTGTCTAGTAAAAAGATATCGTTTTACTTGCCTGTCAGCATCAGTCACCAATGCCAGGCGACCGTAATCCCAGGCCACTTTACGCAAAATGGAAAAAACGAACAGCAGCGCCTGCGGAAGAGCAAACAAGCAGATGTGAGGCCAAGTTTCCCTGAAAGGTGGCAGCTACTCTGTTCTCCAGCAAGTCCCTGTGTGTCATCACAGTGCCCCGGGTAATACACAAGAAAAGGAAAGTTAGCTTTCTGTATGACAAAATGCAGAATTCCAACACTGGGGAAGCTAAAACTTTCAAGTTCCTAACAAAATAATCAAGGCAAATTAAACACAACAGGTGCATGTGGATTGTTCTAGTAATTAACTTATATTTGTATACATTTCATGCAATGTATACAGCTTAATTTTTATTCATGAGAGGCACAGAATCATAGATTAGAAGAGTTAGAAGTGCCCTACAAGGCCATCAAGTCCGGCCCCTGCTCAGTGCAGGGCCCCAGTTAAAGCATCCCTGACAGACGGCTGACCAAGTGTCTAATGAAAGTCTCCAATGCCCACGACCTTCCCAGGTAATTGGTTCCATTGCCATACTGTTCTAACCATCAGGGTCGGGCTGTTTTTCCTAATGTCCAGCCAGAATCTAGCTTTTAGCCTAGCACTCCAGTCTACGAAGATCACTTTGGATTTTGTCTCTCTTTTCCAGGGTATTAGCTATTCCCCTCCATTTTGTGACATTTGCAAATCTGATTAGCAGTCCCTGAACCTCTTTGTATAACAAAACCGCTGAAGAGCACTGGGCCCAGGCCTGAGCCCTGAAGTACCCTGCCAATTTCCTCTCCCCAGCAGCCTGAGAAGCCCTCTGTGAGTCCAGTTCTGCAGCCAGCTAACCGTTGCTCCACCTGGCCCACTTTTAGCCAGTTTGCTGATCAAAACATCATGGGGCACCTTGTCAAAAGCTTTAGTGAAGTCAAGATACAGTCCGTCCACACCATTCCCACATTCCACAAAGGGGATTACCCAATCAAAAAAAGATCAGGTTAGTCTGGCAAGACTTGTTCTTGATAAATCCATGCATTATTTTCAAGGTGCTCACACACCATTTTCTTTATTATTTGCCCCAGAATTTCCCCAGGGATTGATGTCAGACCAACTGGTCTGTAGTGCCCAGGACCCTCCTTTTTGCCCTTTTGGAAGAGAGGGACAAAATAGCCCTTCTCCAGTCACCTGGCACTTCTGCTATCCTCCATGATTTCTCAGAGGTGGCAGACAGTGGTTCTGAGAGTTCTGCCAGTTCCTTTATTACTCCAGGATGCAGTTCATCAGGCCCTGGAGATCTGAACTCATTCAGAGAAATTAGGTACCCTTTGACCATTTGTTTATTAATCTCAAGATTCAACCCTGACCTTTTACGTTTGCACATTTTCGCCAGGGGTTCATAGACGTGCTTTTGGGAAAAGAGCACTTTGCCCTTTTCTTTGTCATTTGTTATCAATTTGCCCTCCTCACTGAGATGTTGAACCACCATTTCTTTTTTCTGTCTTTTACTGCACATGGACCTGAAGCAGCTTTTTTGTTGATTTTATCCCTTGATAGCCTCAGCTCATTCTCAATTTTAGCATTCCTGCACTTCAGTGCCACCTGTCTGCAGCCTTCTTTTCTCCCCTAGCCTTCCTTCCACTTCCTATACATGTCCTTTTTCATTTTAAGTCAACCCAAACCTTTTGTGGAGCCACACTGGTTTTTTCTTTCATCTTTTTTTAGGGGGTTGGAATTGTTTGTAACTGTGCCCTTTAAATTTCCTTTTCGAAAAACTCTCACTCATTATGGGCGCCTATTTTCTTTAGTTTCACTTTCCGCGGGACCTCACTTATCATTGAACTGAGCTTATGGTTACAATAATCTTTCCCAAAATCCAGAGTACGTTTATGGCTATGATCCAATTTTGCTTCCTTTGTTGTGATAACTTTTCCCCAGAATTCCCATAACTTCCACGTTATCCACTAAATCATCCCTTTTAGTCAATATTAAGTTGAGGACAGCTGAGCCTCTAGTTCCTTCCTCCACACTCTGTAGATTAAAGTTATCAGCCTTGCATGTTAAGAATTTCTTTGAGGGGCTACTTTTGGCAGAATCTGTCTCTCAACAGATACCTGGGTAACCAAAGTCCTCCATTACTACCACAGCACCCTTCCTAGAAACAGTAGCCATTTGCTTAACAAAAATGTCATCCTCACCTTCTCCTTGACTGGGTGGTCGGCAGTAGACTCTAACTATCATGGAGGGGGCACCCTGAACCAGGCTGAAACAGCAGGATGTCAAATGGAAGGCTGCTATAGCAATCTCATCTGAGCCTGCAATACTCTTATCACAGTCCTCACAAACTGCCGAACAGCCTCCGTCCTGCTTGCATATAGACACACGATACTGCTTTTTTAACTGTGCAAGAACAGTCCTCAGAGGCCAGAAGTGATTCACTGGGTGGTGGTTCTCTCTAAGGAATATGGCTTCATGGCTCTCATTGTCTTGATAATGCAACAGAGCACCTGCTTTGCATGCGGAAAGCTCCATATCCAATTCTTAACACCTCTGGTTAAGTAAAAAATTATTCTGCCACCAGGGGAAGGGATGCATTGTCTGTCTTGCAGGACTGTCCCCAGATAAGAAGTACACATGCAAGGCAACGCAGGTAAGTGCAATACTTACAAGAAAGCACATGAAATCAAGGGCAAGGACGGTGGGTACCCCTCCGAAGGGCAAGCCCTGCAGCACGGTGCTGCGAATGCGGGCACTGTAGCAATAATCCTTGGTGCTGTTGTTGCTGCAGCTGGAAGACCTGCAGGTCGTCCCTGCTGAGCCGAAGGTGGTCATCACAAAGGGAAGCATCTCTATTGCTTCATTGTTTTACCTGTGGAAGAAAGAGGAAATCCTGGTTAGGAGCATGTCTGTGGGTGGGAGGCGGAGGAGAGCCTGCCCACCTGGACCTTCAGATCATTCAAGTACCCAGGTCTGGCCTGAGACATTTGCATCCTGAGGTGGGTCAGCAGATAAAGACACCCCTTCACCTCCCAGTCAGGGTTATTTGGATTTTCAGCAAAGGTTGATTTTTCCCAGTAAATGTTTACAACAACAACAAATAGCACCATAAGGCTGTGAAGTTATCTTGGCATCTCGGGCAGAAAATCTCACAAGTTCCATTCCCTGGCAGTAAAATCACAACCATAATAAATGAAGTAACTAAGAGTTTGCTGTCCTTCAACAACACCCAAAATCTATTCCCTGAGGCTGCTGCCTCATTCTACCTAACACTAGGACTGACTCTGCAATCAAGCAAAGAGCAATTTGCTTACTTCCGTTTCCTAGCTGACACGACTCCTTTTGTGCAGCAACCTCTTGGTACTTTTTGAACTGTCCAGCTCCAGCTGGAGGAAACTGAGACAGCTGATGAGACACATGAGACGCCTGGCAGCTGTTGCCCCAGGGCCTCCTTTGTCCCTGGAGACTGTAAAGTAAAATGGATGCTGATGATCGCAGCTCTGTAGATGGCCAAATCCCCATTGCTCATTGCGATGAATTTAAGACACTTTATTTGCATGCCCTTCCGAGGCATATTACTCATGGTATGTAAGACTTTTTCTGAATCAGACCAAGGGTCTTTCTGGTCTGCCATCCTATCTTCCCAACAGAGTTTATATGCTGAACAGGGAGGTGCCTGCTGCCCCCATCCTTTGCTCTGTGTATTTGGTCCTCAAAGGTATGCTGTATTTGTATCACATTCAACAGGAATTGAAAACATAATTTCACCATTCTGGCAAGCCACTGATGACAAAAAGGTGCCATGAACTCAAAGCATGCTAACATTTCTATGAAAATTCCAAAGATCTGGCTTTGTAATAGAATGTAATATTCTCTGCTGGGTGTATGTGGAATTCTGCCTTGGAAAGCAGAATTCCTCTGCTATGTTATTAAGCCTAGTTCCTTCCTGTTAACAGCTATGCTGCAGGATTCACAGCTTAAAAAAAGTGGCGGGAAGTCACATGAGCTTCTTTGAATGCTTAAAACTGAAAAGAGATCATACTCAAAAGACCAGATACTATATGAAAAGAACTCCAAATATATGATTCTGATTAATCTTCAGGGTGTTTCAGTCAATTAAAAAATGAAGACTTCTGGAACATGACTCAGTATTCTGGAAACATTTGGGAAGGATTGGCAAATATTTGGCTTATGTTTTATGGTGTTTTTATCTGCTTTACCAGTGGCTTGAGGCTATGAGTTGTGACCTAAACACAGAATTTGCATGTGTCCCCAGGACTAGCTGGAATTGTTCTAACGCACTATGGGAACATCCAGCACCAGCCAAGTGTACACTGGGGTCCAGTTGGTCATAAGTGCATGGCCACAGGTCCCCTTTCTCTCTAACTGCAGAGAGCACACTGCAAAGTGGCACAAGGGTAGTTGTGCAGTGAGAAAATGGAGCACGCAAAACAAGACAAAAGCCCAGGAAATAAGTCCCCCTCTGCAAACTGGCTGGTTGTTTAAGCTTAGTTAACATTGCTAATCCCAAAGTCAAACCAAAGGTGCGGAAAACATCTTTCAATTCCAGCACCGATCAGGAGGTGAACAACTGGTGCAAACGAGGCCTATTATTCAGAGCCACCCAGACAAACTACTTAGTTTGGAAAAACATATTGGCATCTCGGCAATGGTGGTGGTGGCGGGTAATGAAAGGCATGCCATTCTGAAGCCAGTGCAGTCAAGTCGCAGGAGTTCCCCCTTGCCTTCCCAAATTAATTCCTACTGGCCTGTTCACACGGATTCAAGCTGGCAAAGGGATGGTAAACAAAGAGCCACCACACAGAGTATTGATTGACAAGCGGTGCCTACAGGGAATCACCACCAGGCTGGGGCCTCTCTTGCTTAATAGGCAGCGTGAAGCATCTGGGAAGGGAGCCACATAGCACATTAAATTAAATTGTGAGATGGGTTGAAAAGATAGGGAGATGCTGCTGTAGCTGCGGCTGGAGGACAAGGCCGACAGTGGAGCAGCAGGATAACAGAGCCAGTGCGGAAGCACGTGAGGGGAAAGCCTGCAGGAGCCTTTTGAGGAAAACGGTAATAAGGCAGAAACCAGTGGGGAGCCATTGGGAGGGGTGGAGAGGATGAGCGGACAGCAGAAGCCCCTGCATGCAGCAAGAGCTTACGGTGCTTCTCAGGGCCAAACCCAAGTGCACCAAGCCAGATGCTGAACCCTGGCCTGCAGTCTTACGCGCAAGGCAGAGGCGAGGCGAAGAACGCAAAGTTTGGGGTCCAGTTAGGCTGAGTAAAATGTGTGGACAGAGAGACCGGGCCAATGGGACCCAATCCACTGGGATGTCCTCCTGACCTTGCCGCCGCAAGATAAATGGGAACTGCACCCAAGGGTGGACTCTGCACCGCACAAATGTGCATGCGAAGGGAACACGTTTGGATTTTGTACCTCAGACCCTAAAATCTTAGGCTAGGACCCTAAAGGGCCAGCTCTGGATCTGCACCTTTTCCTTAGCTTATCAGTCATGCCATTTCCTATTCTGGGGTCAGCCCCCCCCCCCCCCGATATTTCCATACTGCCACTGTCACCCAGCTTTCTTCAGCTGCGTGAATAATCACAGACTGCCTGTCTTGAGATATTCAAGCAGCCACTCTGCAATGAACAATGAGGGATGTTAAATGCACCTGCTTCAAGGAAGAGGGTGGGAGACTTTCCATAATGGGATGATCCCAGAAAAGGATAATGTGTTGTGTTTCAAGCTCACTTGTAAAGAGACGTGGTGGCTGAGTGGAGATCTCAGCCAAGGCAGCCTACCCCCAGTCCCATGGGATGGACTCAGCGCTCTCTTCCCAGCCAGCAGCTGGGAGCACCAGACTGAGGGGAGGGTTTCCAGGTCCTGGCTCACACTCTGGACCCCCGTTGCACAAGCTAAGGAAGGGCAGGTGATTACAGCTCTTCAGATCCAGCTCAGAAGTTTAATTAAATGTGCTTCAGAGAGAGGAAAATCACGGGTTTGAGGGACACCCTGCATGACACCCTGAAATATTTGGGCCAAGAATGATTCTAGGTGAGGATTCTGCTGATGGAGCTTCTGTACCCCTGGGCCCGGCCCAGCTTTCTTCTTTGTAAAGAACAAAGGTTTACAAGAGGGTCACTTCTTAGGTTACCTTTTCCTGTGAATTAAAGCTATGTGATCAGTGAGGCCACAAGGCTTAGGAAATGAACAGCTCAAGGGGCTTCGCCTGTACCACCTGAGCAACCCTACAGAGCCAGGCAGGCCAGCATTTACAAATCTAGTCATATCCAGTTGCAGGCTAACTTGATGGTGGGGGGAGGGATGAGACGGAACAGCCCTGCCTTACCTGTGGCTACCTGTACTGGATGGACTCTTCCGGAAGGAGGTTGTTAAGGTCTGACAGGGGGTGCAGTGCTCTTTCCCAGTGTGCAAAAGCCAAGTTAGCTTTTTGGAGCCGTGCCAAGGCCTTATGGCTTTCAGCTAGTTAGAACAAACTCTAGAGATGACTGCTCTGAAGTTTTCCTTTCCCAATCACTCTGAAGCTAAGTGCAGTGGGAGCAAAACTGTTTGCCTTACTTGAAGAAGCTTTGCTCCTAGGAAGGGTGTGCCTGTGTGACGGACATTGCAACAGTGGGATAGGAACTTTATAAAATCCACAGCAAGAGACCTTGTCTTTTGTTTTTGGCACACAGAGACAAATTGGTGTACTGCTTGCTTGGGGCACAGGAACATTCCTAGGCTTTTCGAGGAATAGGCTACAGAGAAGGAGAGTACAGTGGTACCTCGGCTCACGAACGCCTCAGTTCACGACCAAATCAGGTTGCAAACAAAAATTTCATTAAAAATTTCACTCAGGTCGCGAACTCCGCATTGGGTGGCGACCGCAATCGCGGCCCTCTCCCCACTCCACCCCTGAGTGGGGAGATGGCCACGATCGTGCTGGGGGTGGTGGTGGGGAGATGGCTGAGATGGCGCCCATGTTTCCTGCAGGAGCGCAACCACAATCTTGGCCATCTCCCCCCAGCACGATTGCACCTGTCACCCCGCCCCCAGCATGCCTGCGTTCTGGCTCGTCTCCCCTCCGCAGTGTACCTGCATTCACGCCCATCTCTCCCTCCCCAATGCACCCTGTTTGCACCCGTCTCTCCCTCTCCCAGCGTGCCCGCATTCGGGCTCGTCTCCTTCACCCTAGCGTGCGGGATGATGGGTGCGTGCAGGGACGACAGGCGCAATGACGGTTGTGCTGGGGTGGGCAGGGAGATGGCTGCGCTTGTGCTCTGGGTTGAGGGGGAGATGGCCATGATCTTTGTTGTGCTTTGTCACTTTGCTTCACATTTTTCTGATTAAAAAAAATAGTTACAGAATGGATTAATCTTATTTACATTGAACCTTATTTACATTGAATTTAACTTGGCTCATGACCAATTTGGGCCATGACCAGAGTCCTGGAACAGATTAAGTTTGTGAGCCAAGGTACCACTGTATAAGCTTTATTTTGCTTGCTTCTATTCTGCATCTATTTGTCATCATTCTATTCAATAAACTATGCCTCATCTTTGATACAGTGTGATTTTCTTCCTTCCTAAGCATCCTTGAATCTAAAGCAAGGTGCCCTGGCTGGGAGTAAAACGCCACCCAGCCAACTTTACAATTATGGTAAATTTTTTTGCAAGGCCATTCACAGTTCACACCATCATGCTACCTCAGTGGATAGTAACTTCATAGACCTATAGACATTCTATAGCCTATAAATATAATTTTGCACTGCATGTAACTTGCAGGTTCCCTGGGTCTCATTTACGTATCTCCTGCAGTCTATAAAATTTAAAAGCTAGAGTGGTCAATAGCTAAAGATCACCTC